TTGGAGGCCCCACAGCTGGACACAGTACTCTGGCTGGGGTCTCATGAGAGTGGAGTGGAGGGGGAGAATCCCCTCCCTCGCCCTGCTGGCCACACTCCTCTTGGTGCAGCTCAGGATATGGTTGGCTTTCTGGGCTGCAAGTGCACATTGCTGGGTCATAGTCAGTTTTCCATCTACTAATGCCCACAGGCCTTTTTCTGTAGGGTTGCTCTCAATCCACTCATCGTCCCACCTGTAATTGTGCTTGGCATTGCCCCAACCCATGTGCAGGACCTTGCACTTGGTCTTGCTGAACTTCACAAGGTTTGTATGGGCCCACCTCTCCAGCCTGCCCAGGTCCCTCCAGAGGGCATCCCTTCCCTCCAGTATGTCAACTGCACCACACAGTTTGGTGTCATCAGTGAACGTGCTAATGGTGCACTCAATCCCACTGACCATGTCACCAACAAAGATATTTGACATATCTGAGCCTGCAACATTGGGATATATGCAACATGTGTACAGTAAGGCTACAGAAATCTTGGCAAATCTGTATGATGTTCACTTAGAGCTTGTGCTAAATGTCATATACTCTTTTTCAGAGAAATTGTACCAAGAGATAGATCATTTTGTGCCCATCAAAGCTAAATACCTATGCAGAGGTTGTAACATGTAGGATCCAGAATATTTTTTTCTTTCACACATGCTGCTCCTAAACCAAACTCATCAGGCAGCAATTTATCCTTCAGGACAGTTCTCAGTGCTGCCATCTCAAACAACTCTTTGTCTCCCGTTCAACCTAAGAATTACATCCTTAATCGCATGGACTAACCAATTAATCCCATCAAGAGTTACACAACTGAAATTCTTGCTACAGTCCCTCACACAAACTCAGTCATCTCCTCGTCCCCATCCAGGACTGTGACTGGAGGGGTGAGGAAAGCCTTGTCCTCTCTCCCAAACTCCACCTTTTTGACTCTTTGACTGTCAGTACAGACTAATGTTGCAAGCAGCCAGAATTGTGTGCCATACATGTTCACATACGCACTCCCAGACACTATCAGACAGGCTTTGGCATAGATGGAGCATTGGTCTGACACAGACTCAGCTGCTGGCTCCTCTGACACTCCTTCTGTACACATTTTCATCTGTGTGTTGCTATACAATTTAGGATGTGTTTAATTCACCTAATGACAGGGCTGATGTAGTGTGGGGACAGAATCGTAACTTTCCAGTGGGAAGTAAATGATGGTTTTGTATTCTAGTTTTCATCCAGATCCACCAACAGTTTATTGAAAACAAACAAACCAACCCTGTTTATTATCACAGTTGTGTTTCAGTAAACAAAATCACCCAGTTTTATTCTCAAAGGTCAAGTACTTACATATTAATATTAAAAATTATTTTTAAACGTGAACAGATGTGAAGTCCTTGCAGTACATTTGCAGAGGTAGTTTATGGGAGGTGGCTGGGTTCCTGCCCACCACTGATGCGTTCTGCTTCCCAGAGGAGAAATAGCATGGAACAGTGTTTGGAAATAGTGTCAGTATTAAACAGCCCATTGAAAGGCTGGTAGGTGGCACGCTCCTCCCCGCCCCCTCCCCCCCCATACCGCAATTGGGGGAATCCTCTGTGTTAAAAGATACTGTGTTATTTTGAGAAATGAACAACTTCTGCTGCTTGACTAGTTCGTTAATAATTTCTGATCAGAATGGGAGGATGCAGGAGAGAGGATGTCCTTTTGCTGTTCAGTCCCACCAGTGATCGTGTAGTGTTCAGGCTCCTCCCAATGTTAAGAAATACCAGTGCCCTCTCCTGGCTGGTAGTGGCCATGCTGGGTATTCATCTGCCATAAATCAGGGATCTGCAGAGGTCCAACATCTTGCTTTTTCCATCTTTGTTTTTTTAATGCCAGTTAATGCCAGTATCACCATACCATCCAGTCTCCTTGAAAGTAGCTGGACTCCTATCTATTCCTCTTTTTTCCTCAAACTCATAAACCATCTCTCCCCATTTGTCTTGCTTGGAGAAATAAAGATCATTCCCTTCTAACAGCTGGGCTTGGGGAGGATCACCAGGGTCCAACACATTGCCAGAAGCCTGTGGGAGACCAGTGTCTAACTCTAGAACCATGTCATAAATATGGCTGGAAGAGTCCTCCTCTGAGGTTTTACTCCCAAAGTAAACAGAGTCGTAGTCCTGCATGTCAACACGAGAAGACACTGCTGCAAGCCTGGCAGCCTCTGATTCCCTTTGGAGAGAGGAGAGAAAAAGTGATGCTTACTCACATACTGCTGCCAAGGTGTGATTTGGCCAAGTGCTGTCTGATTACCACAGAGAGGCACTCATGGCCAGCTCACATCATTATTCAGAAACATTCAGCATCAGAAACTATCATCTACCTGCTCTTAGCACAAAGCACCACATGATTTTCCCTCAGTGTGGAAAGCAACAGGATATTCTGGAACTAGTGCGTGCCACATGCTGCCTCAGTGCTGCTGCAGTGGCAGCAAGCTGCTGGGCCGGCAGTGGATGTCACACACAGCACACGGCAGGTAATGCAGGGCTGTGATAATCTCACTGCAGTGGCCTTACATGCAGTCTTTTAGTTCAGGGCTTCTTTTTTAAAGACCAGAGGCATTCTGCTGTAGCCCAGTCTCTATGTCTGCTTTCCATAGCCTGCACTCAGATTTTAGGAGGTGATTTCCATGAAAAGCACAGATAGAGACAAGCAAAAGTCTTTATAGCTGTCCATTAGGTTAAAGACTTCCTCAAGCAGGCAGCTCTGCAGGACTCTTTTTCATGACAATGCCTCAGAAAATACAGGCTGAAATTTACCATATTTTAGCATTTTAAAACTTCTAATGACACTTGTGCAGTATATACAATGGACACCAGATCTCTATCCTGTTGAAGGGAATGGCTGAATTCTCCATGATGCTGATGAGGCTGGGGTTTGTCCTGTGGAGGGGTTTCCCCCTTGTAGATCTGTGTTCTGCAGTGACACTGGGAGCTAGCACGTGGAGAAGGCTGGCAACCATGTTTCTGCTGCTTTACATTATTTTTACATAGGTTAACAGGAAACAACATATACTTACTAGAAAGCAGACAGCACGTCCCTGTGCCTTGGGGAATTTGGTGAAGGCAAATGTGTCAAACGGAGCCATTCTAGGACAGCTTATCTGACAGTGGAGTATTAACTCCAATACTGTATTGTTGGTACCTGAATAACTTTCCTTCTGCTCTTCCTTCTCCCACTGAGAATTTGGAACAAACTTTGGGCAGACAATGTGAGAAGCCTTGTCCTGGGTTGAGTGAGTGGTGGAGTTTTTTGGTGGCAGGGGAGGGGGCTATCGGGGCGGCCCCCTGTGAGAAGCTTCTCGAAGTTCCCCCAGCTCCACATCAGCTCCACTTCTGTTTGGGAAATTGAGCCAATCAGCTGCGCCTCTGAGATAACGTAATTAAGAAGGGACGTGGTGACGGGCAGTGGGACTTGTGAGGAGGAGTTCTGCAGCTGCATGAACACCAAGGTCAGTGGAGGAACGGAGGAAGAAAGGAGGGGGGAGGTGTGCCGGAGCAGAGACCCTCCTGCATCCTGTGGTGAGACGGCAGGGCGGCCCCCCCCTGCCACCCATGAAGATCTACGGTGGAGCAGACATTGATTTACAGCCTGTTGTTCCTGCTCGGCTGATCAAGGTTCTGTGCCCGAAGAAGGCCGGGCTCTCATGGGAAAAGGCAGCCCCGCTGCTGTAATTCAGTGCTGGGAGGATTGCAGCATGCGGGGGAGTCCCATGCCGGAGCAGCTCGGGAAGGGCTGCAGCCGTGGGAGAGAATCCAGTTGGAGGAAGTTAGTGACCCATGACGGAGCAGTGTGGGGAACGCTGCGGCCCATGGGAGGAATTCAAGTCAGAGAAAGTTTGTGGAGGACTGTCTCCTGTGAGAGGGGGACCACGATGGAGCAGGGGGTAACAAGTTTTGGACACTCCCCTCACCGAACATGAAGGAAGTGGCAGCACTGACTGCACCTCCCATTCCCTGCCCCTGCGCCACTGGGGGAGGAGGTAGAGATATCGGGAGCAGAGCTGAGCCCGGGAAGAAGGGAGGGGTGGGGGGAAGGTGTTCTCAAGATGTGGCAATGCTTCTCACTGTCCTACTCTGTTATGTGTTGTTAGTATCTGTAATAAATGTATGTTCTTTTTTTTTTCTTCCCCTAACGAGTCTGCCTTTTGCTCGTGATCATAAAAGGGGGATTTTCCCCCATCCCAGTCCTATCTTGAACCCCAAGCCTGGCTCTCTGTCCCTTCTCATTGCCGGAGGGGAAGGGAGAGAGAGGTGCTGCATTGTGGTTGGCTGTCAATCAGGCCTAAACCACGACAAGCCTCTTCCTGGATGTTATTCAAAAATTTATGAAGAGGCAGATTGCACTGGGGATGTGCACATGGGAAGGCACAGACCTCCCAGTGCGCTGGGCATACTCCACCAAGACCTATGCGGAGCTCTGCAGAAGCCAGGCTCCCTGCCTACTGCTCTTCTGCTGTAATGCTGGGCCTTTGTGAGACAGCATAGCAATGCCTGAGGGACCATGAGTCTGCTTTCCTACTGTAAGCAATCACCCCAGCAATACATGGCTCTGTGCTGGCTCATTTATCCTCCTCAGGTACAGTGCATGGTGCAGAATACTCTTGGGTCTTGATTAGATGCTAAAGAATTTGTCTAACTGGTTTTAACACAACCCTATCCAAGACAGTTCTCCCAAATGTCAGCCAAAGCACAAAAGGGTACTTGCATAAAATTGTCTCCCCTTTCCTCCTCACCTGCTCCTCCCACACAAATTACATCTCTAGCAACACCACTATTCCAACAAAAAAATCAGTGTTGGCCTTGACTGAGTCTGTGAGCTAAAGACTGGAGGACTTCCCTGAGGTAAAAGCAACCCCTATGGATATTTTTAATCATTCACCAGTGGGACTGAATGTCCAGTTACATAGCTGTGCAAAAAAAGGAGAGCAAGTGAATATTACCTGAGTGCTTGTTTTTCCTGTTTGATCATCTCCAATATGGCAGAAAATGCAGGTCTCTTGGTGGGGTTGTGATTCCAACAGGCTTTCATGTACCAAATCAATCTGGTGAGGTTTGGAAAGCCAAAATCACCAGGCATGCTTCCTAACTCCGTGAATTTTAGAACCTGTTTTTATTTATTCAGACACCAAAAACAATGTCACATTAGTTTTCTGAGAACTGGTGTCTGGATGTGCAACTTTGCCCCACTACAAACTTGCTAGCAATAAAGGAGGTCAAGCTTGCACTGAATTTCATAATAATTGCATAACAAACAGTAATTTTTATGTGCTAATTGAAATTAGTAGGAATAAATCATTCCTTGAAAAGAGGTTTTGTATGGCTATTGTGTAAATTCTTTAGAACCGTTTTTAAGTTTACATTGCAACCTTTCATTATTGAAGGCGATAAACTGTGTTTCTTCCCTCTGTAGAGAGATTCTATCTCCAAAAAAATTGCAGGAGCCTAATAGCTTTAAGATCAGTACTCAGCCATCACACCCAGCTAACAGGTTCAAAAGTCACTGTGGTAGAAGGGACCAAGATGTTGACAAACTAATGGACAGAGATAGCACAGCACAATCAAATAGGTCTTCTGCTCTCAAGACCAGACTAAATGCATAAGTAGGGAAGCAGAGAGATTCCCATGAAGCCTGAACACAGCTTTCAATTGGGAAAATGTAGGAAAAGAGGTATGGGTAAAATGCACTTTTCTGTATAAGAAGGGAGTTCTTTGACCAGAATTGCAGGTGCTACACTCAGAACTTTGTGGAATATTTCTCAGTCCAAATATTGATTGAATTATGGAGAAAATAATAACCGCCTAATAAAGGCAACATCCAAACTCAGGGTGGGAGTGAAGGTTTCTTTCCATGCATGAAAGAGAAAAATTGGAAAATGGGTCTTTCCATCCCTAGCAATCGTCAGAGCTATAGAGAAGCTGATACTGAGTTTCTTCCCAAAACATCCTTAACATCCTTACCTCCTTGCTGCTCAGTAAGTTGAAAGGTTTCAGTGGCTTGTACATGTGCAGGTTGGTCAACTGTGCCGTTAAAGCTTCCCATATCATAATCCCAAAGCTAAAGACATCTGATGCTCGGGAATAGAGCCCATCATTTCTCACTTCTGGGGCAGCCCTATTGAAGAAATGAACAGGTTACTGGTCTAATATGTTTCTGTATACTAGAGAGCTGGGGGGCAAGGCAAAGCAGAGTGATCCATGATTTTCACTGTGGATCCAGAGACTTCAGTTCACACTTTGCATTAGTGGCTATGGCTAAGTGTCTAAGTGGAAGAGAAGTGGGGTGACAGTGGTTCACCATGGGATGTATACCTAAGCTATTCAAGAGAAAGGGGGCACAAGTTACAGCAGCTTTTTTTTTCCATGTTCAGAGTTACAGAACAATTCAATTTTTGCCAGAATGTCCAAGTTTTCTGGTGGACAAAAAGCCACAAGGCAGTTTCTCTGAAACAAATAAACAACCATGTTCTGCTGTTTGGACAGGTACAAGTTAGAATATAGGAAACACAACTTTAAAAGAATGTCCTCAGGATTTTCGGAGCTGTAAGAAACACGTGGATATCATGAAACAAGATAAGGTAGAGTTTGTGGTAAGAAAATGGGCAGAAAGGAGAGGGGAAGTGAAACGTAACAATGCACTTACCACTTGGCTGCATCAGCTGGCATAACTTTGTGCACGTAAGGCTCAAAGAGGTTGTCATCCGTTCCTGGATGTGGCAGACAGACTGCTCTTCCCCAGCGACCAAGTTTTGCAGTCACCTTTCAGAAGACAAGGGAAAGAGAGAGGGGATTAAAATCCACAGAATTTATCCACTCTCCAGCAAAAGCAGCAAGAATTCAGTAGTTACGACAGTGCATAGCTTGCTGGACAGTTTATCTGTGTTCTGTCAACAGTGACCAGCATCACTGCTTCCCAGTTCAGGGATGAGTAATGATGGATTGATCTGTCTTGACACTTGTCTAAGCTAACTTTTCAGAAGTGAATGTAGCAAATATAGGCTTTTTATACAGCCTTCCTCATAGGACAGAGCTGAGCAACTCCAGAAAAGAATTAGACACCTCTTTTCCAGAAACCTAACTTTGCATACGACGAATCTCTGAAGTGATTGCATTACCTCCTGATTGCATTACCACCTGATTAAGAAAAGATGACTAAAGTTTTTGCAAACCTCCCTGTTCTAATATAACTAAAAATGCATCCTTCAACATGTAATAAAGCATCTATGACTGTAGTGCTGTGCTCCTTAACATCCACCTATGTGCACTTTCCTGCTCATTTGCCTAAGGAACTCTTTGTACAGGGGTCTACCTGGGTGGAAGTGGATTGTGGTTACAGGCAGCAGTGATTCACACAGAGTTAGGGAATAATCTGAAACAAGACAGAATGAGTAGAAGGAACAAATACCTCTGAGCAACTGTGATCAGAGATAATGTAAATGTAACTGCACTGTAGGTCACAGTGTATGATCCTCCTGGAATGAAGATAAGTCATGGCAGAAGCAACCTGCTCAAGGCAAGTGAGAAGTTTGATGTCATCCATGCTAGGATTTGCAGCAACTTCTATTAGGGACTTTGTGTTAACATCAAGAGGCTTGGAGATCTGCAAAAGGAATACATGAGAAAATTAGAGGTGCCAAAAGGCAAATGCTTGCTAGCAAGTTATCACAAACAAAACAGAGCTCTGCCTTTGTATGTGCCCCTCACAGCAGTTTCCCATCTGCCAGAAGTGAATAGCAAGGTGCTGTATTTTGCCTGGTATCTATGTGGTTTCCCTAGTTTGTGCACAGGTGAGATGCATAGATGCTCCTATTTTAGCTCAGAGTGAGCCACGGGCAGAGCCCGAAGCTCTGTAGGCTCAGGGAACACACCCAAGTCAGCACAAAATTAGCTTTTCTACATTCAGGAGAATATGTTTAGTGTGGCATAGTGGAGACGATATTTCATCCTTATCTGATGGGATTTCAAAACAACACCCTCCCAATATACTACAAAGAGTACAGAAATCACAACCACGTACTGTAGCAGTGTTCAACAAGGGCACCACCTTGCAGAAGGCTGTAAAGACACAAACTGGGACAAGGTCTCTGACTCACAGAGCTTACAGTCCATTGCCTGAAAAACAGCCCCTTTCTTTAATTCTTCACTCACTACTGTTCAGCTCTTTCAATCCCTGCTGTGTCTAAATGCTTTGTAAAATACTTCATAGTTTCTCAGTGGAATCTGGAAGCGTTCTCTACTGCTGTTCAGCTCCTTGAAATAAATGCACAAACAGCAGAGTAGGCAACAGCCATTACCACAAAACACTTCATGCAAACAGTTACAGCTACATGGCAATTTCCCTACTCAAGGAAGGACACAACAGCAGGAAGACTGCAGAAGATAACAGTCTTGTTCCTTTATCTACCTAGAAGGATCCTCTTGTATATTGCCTGGGATCCCAACTCAATCCAGGACAAGCTCAGACACCAGGTAATATGACAAAAAAAAAAAATATTTGCATGAAAAGGGACTCAGTGGGTGGGACTCAGTGGTTATCAGTTGCCCTCTGAACTCAAATCACAACACATGGGAACAAATAAGAGCAGAATTATCCAGTAATGTCTCATCATCTGCAAAAAGACCTCTCTGTGGTATGAGAATTGATTTTCAACCTTGGCCTGGCAGGCCCCTGGTAAAGGAAAATCTATGATACAGTTCTGATGTGATTATGAAAGTCAATTAATTATAGAGAAATGAGCCCATTGATAACAAGCTGATAATTCTGCTGTGGAGTTACACCTCCACCTCTCTCGCTTACAGGAAAAGTAAAAAGCACACAGATAACTAGTAGCTCCTTATTACCACAGTGAATATTTATTTTCTAAGGTCTCCATCTCTGCTTTCGGGGACATGATAAATGACTTTTTTTCTCCCTGCTTTGCTCTGACCAGGTATTTTCACTGTACAAACACAGACTTTCTAACAAGAGCAAATTTACAATTCATGCTTCCTAGAGCCTGTGTTTCTGCCACCACACACACACTAACGCATGCAGACCTGCCACTCTCAAAAGCTGCACAGAGAGAGTAGCAGAAGCTTGCAATTGCAAAATGTTAGAGATACATGCAGAGACAGAGCTAAGGGACTGACTCATTGACATGATGTGCCTAGGAACACTCTTGTAGTCACAGAACTTGGGACAGAACTGAAAGCCCTGCACTGATTCCTCTACCTCATGGCCACATTACTGTTGCTGTGGGACTGCTTTTATTGTCACCCGTGGGGGCATCCTGGAGCTTCATTCCAGAAATTACTGCTCTTGTGTTTCTGCTGTGGCCAAGAAAGGAAGACTGTATTTTCTGTGGTTGTACCTGGAAGAAGTGCTGCGGACAACTTCAGCAAATGTCACCAACATATTTTATGATCTCAGATAATGAGGAATCAACATATGTCACTGAGAAAAAAAAGTGCTGTACCCACCCAAGACATGGGAATGGTGTCTACACAAAACGACTCAGTGTTTTTATACTGATAACCACTATACGTGAGATGGTATTAGTCAGTCATGTAAAGCCATGTCTGTGTGATTATAACTGGAAATATCACTGTACCAGAGAAATGCCAGACATGTCTAGGTGAAAACATAAGCTCCTGAAAACTCTGAATCTGAGCTCAGAGCTGATTCCAAGGGAAATCAGAACAATAAGGATCACTAGGGACAACTCCATGACTTGCTGAGATGTAAAGAAGGGAGGTCTCAGTACTGTCAACAGTAAAACTCTATCAAAGAAGAAAATCCTATCCATATGCTTACATATGCTCTCTTAGGAATACTGTAGTGAGATGCCAGAGCATTCCCTTTATCAGGCAGTAAAGATTTACAATGTTGGCAAAGAACAAGAAATATTTCTAAAAAATTATTAAGGTGATTAACATGATCTAGTAGCAGTAGAGGGAACCAGTCATAACATTTGACTTCCTCTGAGTCCAGAGTAATCCTGGCAACAGCAGTCCCCTCCACCCTGCAAGGCCCTTGGAGGCTCCAGCAGTTCTCCAGGACTTTCTTTCACATCTCTGCCAGGTTGCTTCCCTTCTCCAGATGCTCAGATTTGGGTCCTGCTCCAGTTCCACTTGTCTCTCAGAATACTTACCCCATCTCCTCCCTATGTGATCCTTGCCCATGCTGTGGCCATTCCCACCCTCACAGCTTGTGCTTTGAGCCCCCTTGCCACCCTCCCCTGCTTGCTTCGGATGGCCCTGCCCCAGGTGGAAGGAGCCCCATCACAGGTACATCTCTCTGCCTGTCCTACACCCTGTGGGACCTCCCCAGTGACGTGCCTGCCCTATGACCCTCACTCCAGGACTTTCACCACTCCTTCCCATCCTCCAGAATGACTCATACCTGGAATCTGAGAGGTCATGGCCACTATGACTCTCATGTTGTAAATCTATCATAAGACACTCCAGAAAACTCTGATCTAATCATTTTACTATGACGAAAGAGTTTATTTTTCTTAGCTCTCCTGATGATTTCACAGAGCACAGTGGACTATCTAAACATAGTCACAAAGCTACTTCCAAACCCAACCACCTTCCACCTGAAACAAACTGGGTTTCAGGAGTGCAAGAGAATAGTGGTGACAATCCATGGAAAACCCATAGTACTAAAACCATAAGATACATATCAGAATTCACATCATACTCATGTCAGATATTTTTCTCTGGTTTTCTTCACTGACATCCAGTCCCTCAAAAGCCAAAACCCTCCTACAGCTGCATCACATTTCCTCACTCCTATCTCCCCTCCAGTTCTGAATGCACAGCCATCCCCTGCTGGCACTCTATGCATGGGAAGTCAGGCCACAGACACTGCTTGCCTGGTGACACAGAGTCCTGGCAAAGCTCTCACAAATCATTCCTGCTTCACTCACCAGTGTGGTGGTCATGGGGAAGTAGTGCATGATTTCTTTTACCAACAGTATGTTCTCATGTTGTAGTGTGTGAAGGGCTGTCTTGGTCATATGGTTCATTTTGAAGGACACCAACTCACACAAGCAGTTGTCCTGTAAGAGAGCCTGAAAATCAACTGCCAGTAGCAGCAAGGTGCCACCATCTTTATGGAGAAAAGGACAGAATTTCATTCTTACCTGTTACAGCAATGAAGAGCCAAGCCCTTCCTTCAGTAAAGCTAGTGGAACCCAACTGACTTTAAAGGAATGGCTGGAGAATTACAGTCTTTGTAATGGAAAAAAGATTGTATTTACTGGTCCTATCAATTTAATTAGCTTTGTGAATGACTGAAGAGTAACAGAACAGTTTGATGATTTAACTCTGCATTAGGAAGCCAAAAATACACATCCAAAATATAATCCAAAATATTGTTGGCCTAACAGGATTTGTTATGAAAATACCATTTGTTACTTACACAAAAAAATGTTACTTATAGGAAACCCAGTTTTACATGCACTTTTTTGTCAATTAATTTACTCATAGCGAAAACGCTCATCTCAAAAGTCCCATAGACAGATGAATTTTGGCAGGTCAAACTATATGAAAAGCAATAAATAAAACCATAAGGAAGTATCACAGAAAATCCACAGCTATGTAACTTCTTCCATCATATTTCTTTTCTAGCTGTACAAGGATTTTTCCTTATCCCCCTGACTCCTCTTAAACTGGCTTCTCCCGTCAAAATGTGTATTTATAAATGATGAAACTATAAACAACCATTGCAGTTTGACTTGACCATCTCTATAGCACAAACAAAGAAGTTTTGCTGCCAGCATAATCTTTAAAGATTCATCCAGGCTGAGTTCAAAAATTGCCAGTGATGATAAACCTACCAACAGTCCTACTTCTTATCTGAATTTTTCTATCTCTAGTTACTGGCTCTTGACATGATTTTGACTGCAAGGTTTAAGTATTTCTACTGATAAATCAGATAAAATTTTAGAAGAGATAAAGTGATAACTATTAAACCAAAGCACTACCTTTCGCTCAACAGTGTCTTCACACTTCTCCGGAAAAAAATTGAGTGGATCACTCTTCTCAAAGTTGCCTGAAGAAACAGCAAGACAAAGATAAAATGAAGCCTATTTCTCCTCATATATATATCAGCTATATGTCAACATACTGGCATAGGTGTCTGAAAAGTTGCTCCTAAAATATCCGTACCAAAGAAATATCTGTATCAGTTCTCAGATTTTTAAATAAAGTGTGTTTAACTCTCCACTGCAGCTGAGCTATACAGTCACTTCACCAGAACATGCTCTTGCAAAAAAAATAACTCCCCAGGAAAGTAATTTGTTCAGAGCAACTTCCCACCAAAAGAACAAGCTCCCTCCTTCCCTCTGTGGTGCTCCTATTCCCAGCACAGCATGTTCTACCAGCTGAAGATGGAGAAAATAGGAATGGGGAAACTTAGGCCATGCAGAGAAATTACACTGTGTGTTTCTGAAATCAGCCAAATCCCTCAGACAATGACCTTCTTGCAATGCCCTTTGTTCTCATAATATCTGAGGACTTTCAAGAATGGATCTCTCAAGATTTCAATGTTTATAAATTCCTGAATTCTTACTGTTGTCCCATCACCTGTGCTCAGTCCCACTGCATCTCCTTTGGCAGTTTCCCACACACTAAAGCACAGATTCCTTTTTCATGATTGATAACACCTGTTCCGGGAGATTTTTCACATAAACTGTTAGAGCCAAGCAAAACCTTCACCCAAAACTCATCCAGACTGTGGGTGAGCTGCTAACTTATCCCCAAACTTACATTTCTGGATCCCCATCTGTGTAACTGAAAAACCTTATGGAAAGACCTTTTGTCATTAGATGCTTACGTTACTTCAGCAAAGCCCCTGGCCTTTCTGTGGGTTACCAAATTCAGCCCAACCTGCCCTTCCATTTCTCTCTTCAGACCCTCCTGCTTCCCCTATATGCATTTTGCAAAGCCTCCTACATCCTCCTATTATTACATCTGTTGATTTCCTTGTTGATTTCCTCTTGAGACACAAGTGCTGTTAAGAAAGATTTCTTGCCAAAGACATTTGTCATTCATGCTTTGAGAAAACTGGTTCATACCTTTGCTGTCAAGGTAGCCCTATAAAACAAAAGGGAGAAGAAGCATAATTATATCTTGATCATTTTTAGTCATTTTTTCTGCTTACTTCCATGTATGCTGACAGAAACACCAGTACTTTCACTTTTAAATCACGTAACACTCATCAGCTTTTGAGATCTAATTATGCCAGAAAAATCAGGTTTCAGCAGTGCAAATCCTGGGAAGGAAAAGGTTTCCAGACAGACTTTCATTTACTAAACAAGAAAAGTCTGCTGTGAAATGCTGCTGCTAGAACCGCTTGAACATACTGAAACAACCCAGGCTTAAGCAGGATCCCAATAGCGTAAATCCATTGTTTTTAGGTTAAAATTTTAAATATCTTTCTCTTCATATCTGAAACCAACCTGATTTTCTGGAGTCCACCATCGAGTCTGTTAATGGGTACTTCTACTTCAGGCCAAATGCAGTGTCCAAGTGAAAATGAGGCAACACTTACATACACATGGGACCAGCAAGTCTGCTTCTGACCTTTTGTTTCCACAGGGCCAGAGAAACCAGATTGGCTTGCATGTTTTAGGCCTGATGAAACACAGCTTTCCTACCATTTGAAGTTCAGCAATAACCAGGCAATTCAGACAGGTCAAAGCTCTACACAAACACTTTGTGGGACCTGATCATCAGAATATCAGGCTGGCTTTCTCAGCATGCATATCTGGTCTTCAACAACCATGCCCTCCAGACAGATTACCCTACAACTATTAGGATATTGATTAATGCTGATTGTTGATTACTGATTAACACCAATTGCTACTAGCCATTATTAGATATAATGTGAGTGGCAGCAGCCAGTGCCATGGACACCATGCTCTAGATCATGCAAAGAAGATATTTACAAAGCTTTGACAATTACCCTTATAATATCTTCCTCACAGATGGGGGAGAACTGGCTTGTTATCTCATGTATCCTGTCCAGATCTGACCCTAGAAAAAGAAAAGAAAAGAAAGGCTGGAGTTTGTATTTGATGCTACCCAAGCCCTGAGGACAGGAATAGAGTTCCCTTTGTTGTCATGGCTGCAGTATCTTTGAGGCAAATGCTATTGCTCATCTTATTGCTGAACTGAAACAAAACAAAAAGTCTGGCTGCAACCAAAGAACACTGTATTATAGATAAAATATTGGACAGTCATTCAAGTGAGATGAGAGTCATCCATGTGTTTCAACCCCCCCCCAGAGACAGTGGCTCTTATACTGCTGTGTTTCCATCACAGATGAAATGACTCAGAGACGCTGCTGCCAAGTCTTCAAGAAGACCAATGTATTACTTGCCTATGGATATTTCTCCTGAAATGGATCCTGAAGAGGCAGCAAGTGGAGAGGGAAGAACTACGCGTGACAGCTGCTAGTCTGCACATCATGTTAATCACTTCGTGTATGTGACGAAGGTGCTCAGAGAAGGTACTGAAAAGTGAGTAAAGAGCTCTACAAACAAGCACCAAGTTGGGAGAGAAATTACTCTTCAGTGACCCATATAAAAGAGTGCTCTCTGTCTAGTTCTCACCACTGACACAAACTGCAGTAATTACTTTGAGTGTGAGATCTTCTATTATGTCTGTGCAGTTCTGCTGAACTGTCTGGCCAGACATCTCAGAAACCTCTGCTGTATACTGGTACATTCAGGCAGCCAAAAGCCTGAATTAACTTTAGAGTGAACCCTGATTAAGTTAAATACAGGTTAAATATTTCTAGCATCAGAAGCTAACCTCTATTGATTAAAATGTCTTACAATTCCTGAATCAAGGGGCTGCAACAATGACCACCAGGCAGCAGAAACCACCACGAGCATGTTCCCATACTCTGAGTGATCACTGTGAATAATTAAAGGAAATGTCTAAGCCCCTCCAAAGACCAACAAGTTCCTTTATTAAAAAGAGACTCAAAACCACTCCCAGATGTGGGAACCGATGCATCCATCAGTGTGCTCTGTAACTACAAAATTAGACCAGATGCTGGGAAAGGATCTATCTCTGCCTCTATCTCTGTAGGGCTGTTTCAGTCTGTTGTGTCAGGTTGGTGACATCATGCTCTCAAAATTCATTGTTATAATCTGAGGAGTTTCTTATTTAATAACTTCTGTAATGAAAGAGAAGTCAACCAGGGAGCTAGAAGTGTTGTTAGTTCAACTGGAAATCCAATTCAACTGAAAATTCAACTGGAAAGACCTAGGTGAGAAATGTTGCTGAGACAGACTTCTATCCCTCTGACTATGCAATGCACTAGGTAAACAGGGTGAATGAAATCAGATTCTGCTACCTAAAAGCCAAGGTCCCACAGTAGAAGACATTATAAACACAGAGGTAAACCTGAACCTTCCCTTGAAGGAGAGCTACCCAGAACACAGTGGGGTACAATCATGGGGTATAACTGGTGGAGATGTTTACCCAGACCCTGAATCCATCATGAATAGAGAATTTATCAATCAGGTATATTATGCAATGGGGAAAATTATCTCCATCTCAGCCAGACCCAATATACATATATAGTTCTTAATGCATTAAACTGTCTTCTTGGTCACCGTTACTGTCACTCTAGAAGTTGTAAGTGAGCTATGAAAGTGGCAGGTACTAGCATATTGCTGTCTGAATTCCTCAGACACAGCATGAAGAATTTCAATTTCACAGCATGAGGAATTTTACACTGCTGGCCTAGTGTTTTTTCTGGTAAAGGAAAGGTCACAAGCAGGATCCTGGGAATAAAGGAAAATGTGTCCCTAAGATTAGATTTCTAGTTTATGGAGGTCCTCCAGCTACTCCTCTACAGGAGGGAATAAATACGTAAGTTTCATGGCTATATTTATCTTAAAACTGTAAACTGTAACTCTGAATCTCTACAGCCCCAGCACAGCCCCTTGACTCTACAACAATGATACAAATGACCAGTACTGCATTAAATAGACATTGCTACAGTGATGTTGATAAGAGACTAGACAATTATAGTGATTCCCATACCTAGAGTCGTCCTGTAGTTTTCCAGGTGCTCTACCAGTGCCTCCATAGATGTACGCTTTGTCTCATCATACTCCAAGTTGGGGGCCATTATGTTCCACAGTTTCAGAGGAATTGAGTCTGGTCTTTGTGCCCTGTGCCCACTACAGATCTAAGAGGGGAAGACAAAGAAAAGAACTAACCATTGATGACTGCAGCTGAGCCCAACTGAAGAACAAACCAGCCCTGGACAATGCTTATCCTACAATCTCAAGGTGACATCATAGGTTATGGAAGTGTAAATGAGTCAACAGGATTTCCAGGATTACACCAACATAATGGAGCAGAATTTGACCTATCTTAATACCCCCTTTCAGTCTTCGAGTTCCTCAACACCACTGTGAAGCACCATGGAGATTTTTGAACTACTGCTATTCCAGATCCCACATAATGTTTTCCTTGATGACTTCACCCCTGAAAGACCCAACAGTGTCCATCTGCCTGTAATTAAATCCCTTTATACCATAGCTGGTCCCACTCTGGTTTTCTTTTTACGAGTTTTCAATGAAGCAGACAGATTTTTCAAGCATAAGAGTATCAGACACTACTCCCACCCCGAAGTAGAGACAATATTCAGATAGAAGTGATTTTCATTGAGGTCTGATACAATAACTCAGTACAGTACTCAGAGCAGAAACTTCAGCTTTAGTCTACCCTACAAAAGCTGTTATAACAAGTCTTTGTGCTTATTTAACCATATTTCTTTTAACAATATGCAGATTTTCCCCTCTGGTTACCGTAGATGTCTGCAGTTTCCTTTCCCTTTCTGGATGACTTGATCACCTCTCTAGAGCCTTCACTCCTCCATTTACCTTGGAGAAAATGGAGCTTCTCCAGACTACATACATAGATGTGTAACCAGTCAGATAGGGACTGTCTATTTGTGTGGCCGAGGACTGTTCTTTGTGCACTTTCCCAAATTCAGATATTTTATCAATGTCCGCAGGTTTGAAAGACCAAATTCAATGTGAACTTCAGTGTCTCAAGGGTAAAAAGGTTATATTTTTCATGGCTCCTGTTAATTTCTCACTATTAGTGTCACTTCATACCCTTAACATCCTCTAGCATTAAGAAAACATTCCCCAGTGGGTAGAAGAGAGGTTTTTTTTTATCTCCTATGAAAGCCACTTACCTCTCTTATGAATCTGGACACAGGCAAGTACCTGAGCTCAAAGTATGTTTGCCCACCGTACAGGAGAATGGAGTAAAATGTCGCAGCAACAGCCCATGCATCAGAGAAGGCAGAGAAGATGTGATACTGCAGGGACTCAGGAGCACTGAAGTATATAGACAGTGGCTCCTCACTGTCTCCTATGTTAAGACAGAGATGAATCAAGACAAAGGCCATGACCAGAATTCTCTTTCCCTTGCAATGGATACAGATTTATCTTTGTAACCAACAGTAACCATCTTCACATCACTTGGACATGGCCAATAAGAAAATGAAAGAGGGAAAACTGTTCTTAGTGACAGCTACTAGACAGATGACAAGTTACTCATAAGGAGGGTAAAGAGAGTAGAATATGGAAAATAAGTCATACTGTCTGTGTGAGATTGTTTCTATCACACCTTAATAATTTAGAAAAATGTTGATCACTTGTGACTGCATTTAACTGAGGGATGGAGGTCTCAGAGGAATTCTGACATATATGAAAAAAGGAGTCTTTTTATAGTGTCTTCACTGAAGAAAGGCTGTGGCACAACTCATTCTTTACTACACATACAAGACCCCACATAGACACTTACCCTTATAATATATTCCTGGGTCACTAGGTTTGCATGGCTCCAGTAATAGGGTGGGCAAACTGAGTGAATGAGTTATGGTTTTGTCTAGGTTTCAAAGTAGGAGGTGCAAGGCTTCAAAGTTTACTACTCCTAGGCATTTCTGGGACAGTTTTAATCTTTAACCTTTGACTGGCAATGTTTACAGGATGAATTTTCCATAATTTATGATGACTCAGTGATCCTAATCTTAGTCTGTTATGACAGCTTCTCAGGCAAAGTTGCAGTAGGTGTCATATACAGAGACTGCCTGAATTTTTATGCACTTCCTGAACTTTTATTTTGTTAAAGACATTTCCTTATAACAAGTATATGATTAACCCTAGCTACAACAGGTTTTATATGCACAGCTCTTGTGCACATATAAATCATCCATAAGAGCCAGCCAGACCTAGCCAGGTACTCAGAATGACTGTCAGACTGCAGCAAAAAAGTCTCCTCCTCAGCAGGAGGAGAACAATCTGGGGTCCTAAGAATTGAATTCAGTTGTTTTGATAGTAGTCAGGGTAAGAACAGGTGCTCACTGAGGATTCTTACATTCCACTCCTAGTCTTTTTGATTGTTCATATTTTTAATAGTGTTGGCTTGCATTTATCAGGGCTATATTCTTCACAGATAGAGGGAAAGGCAAATTCCCTGAGGATAAACCTCAGAGCAGAGAATTGACTCACAGAAGACCTGTTCAGTGAATAGCAGCCCAGGGAAAATTATAAACTTTTCCCAAGGCTGTCTTCAACTTGCCAGCTCTTCATGTCTGTACCTCTGAGCTGCCCAGATTTGATGGTTTCGTAGGAACAATCAGTATCAGAATAGTATCTCTCATCCTCTGGGGGAGCCATCCTGGCCTGGAAGAAATCAGACAGCTTGACCTGCACGCGAAGAGCTCTGGTCCCTTGTCGCCCACCTGCAACCACAATGAAGCTGGCTGGAGTGATGTTGCAAAGTAAAACCTTTTTCTGGTGACATGATCCAACAGCTCTGGAGATATCTTTTAAAATGTCTATTATAGTGGATTGGATGAGTTTATTTCTTTTCTCCTGCAGGAAAACCAAGAGGGGGTTCCCATCTTCCATCATGTACAGCGGAGGCACTCCACAGGCACTGGACATTTGCAGTTTGGCAATGGACTCCCTGTCTTGACACAGAGTCACAATTTTGATCACCTCTTGAAACCTTTCACAGTCACTGTCAGTGGTATTTGTCTGCAAGATGTCATTCAGGGTCTGTTGTTTGGCTATGTGGATCTTTGCATTGCCTACAGGTGTGATACCTTGCACAACAATGCTACTGGCATTTGTCTTCATCTGTCCCTTGAGGGTAAGATCAGGGAAGGTGACCTTCAGATAGGCTTGGAGAGCTGCCTCCACGTGGTTGGGATCAGCTGGGATCACTTTGTTTCCGAGCTCAGTAACATGTGTATATGTACCATCCTTGCTAAGGAGTAACGGTGCAATGCAGTGCCTCACCTCACTCAGTGGGTGGTAAAGCAACTTTTGGAAGAAATGATTGAGGATGATCATTGCCAAAATTGACGTCTTTTTAGAAGCAGTTCTTGTGCACCATTCCCACAGGCTTTGGAGAAGATACAGGCACTCTTTTACTGCCCCTGTGACACAGAAATGCTCTGTTAATGCAACTACAGAGAAGACACCATATCATAAATTGCAGACTTTTAAAAAGAACATGGCACTATGGTACAATTATATGAGACAGGAAGAGAAGAAAAATACTGTTTATCTGTCGCAGCATTGATTAAACAGCCAAGTCACAACAATCTCACTGAAAAGGCCATGCCAGGTTGGACACCTGTAGGCAACTGGAATGCTGGTTTATGTCTCTAGTGAGAGTTTTTCTCAGCAGCACAGGGCTTAGTTCAGTTGTTAGAAAAGAAATCAGCTCAGAAAAATTGGATCATGAAGATCTCAGCTGCTTTATCTAAACTGAAATCCCAGTCCTGCTTCTTTATGAAAGGTTATAATTTTGTCATTGTCATCATCACCTTCCTCAATCAAGTCAGTCAGTGGTGAATGCTAGACAAAAAGGGATAATATATGGATATACAGTCTAATAAATAAAGCAGCTGAGACCTTTTGGAATAGTGACCAGCAGAGCAGTGGCTGTTTTGCCACTGCCTGAAGTCTGATGGCCAAAACAAGTACCGGCTCTGCCTATGCCTCAGGCCAGTCCTGTGTTTCCTTACCATGTGTGTGGCTGGCTTGGATATGTTCAGTGATGCGCTCAGTGATTTCCAGTAAAACCTCCCAGTGCTTTTTCCCAAATTTTGTGCACACATGGAAGAAGAAGGGCTGGCTGACTGCAAGCAGGTTGTCTTCAAACACCTGAAAAATAGAGAGAGTAACTGAGTTGCTCACATTTACTGTGAGCTTTGTTGGTGGTGTTTGCTTACTTTCATATTAAGTAGTTGACTGCACATCTGACTAAAAGGATGCATAAAACAAGTCTCTTGCCCAGGGTTGTGTATTTGCTGCTCACAGAGTAATGTCACACCAGTGAGAGATGGACAAGTCGGGAGCTACAAAAGCAATATTAGGATAGCATGATTAGTTACACACCTTTTCAGTAAGAACAAGAATAAAGATATGTCTTATCATCCAGGGTACTCTCTGAAGCTGCTTCTGGATGAATTGGAACTGGACAACCCTCTGGTTTGCACAAGTCACAGTTTTCTCCAGGATCTTAAGGAAACTTTCCAAGTGCTTCAAGTATGTTTCTATGAAATTTGGCCAGGGTATTTGTTTTTTTACAGCAGTGGAGATGGCCATTCTGATTTTCTGGTAGGCACTAAAGCACAGATATTCATAATTTCTCTCCTCTGAAGGGACAGTGCATTTTGCAAAGACCATTCCCCTCAACAGAGCCTTCAACTTTCCATTGTTTGTTGTGGAGACATGAACAAACATTGCTGCCAGAATCCAACAGTGTAGTTTCTCCTGCTGAATGCAGAGCTCCTGGTTGGAAGCAGAGCTGTTGTATTGGATGAGATTTCTTACTCTCAGCTCTAGGTTCTCCAGGTTTGCCAACCTAGAGAAAGTCAGAAAGTCCCTCTTGATGTTTTTGGCCAACATCTGACAGATCTGTTGTCTGATTGACTCATTGCTACCATCGCAGTATCTCATGAAATAATTGTCCAGCTCTTGAAAAGATATGTAGGACATTTCTTTCAGGATGTCTTCAGTTTCTGGACAGAAAATAAAATAAACATATGTCAGATGGAACACTCCCAGAGTTTCTAGCTGGTTTCTGAATTGGATCCCAGCCTACAGGGACCATTAGTCAGTTTGTCTGTCCTCAGAGAAGATGTGGTCCGAGATAATGCTGGGAATGTACCAATGAATATACTTATGACCTACTAGAAATCTGAAAGGAAGAGAGCCATTCTTTACTATTCTGTTAGCCATCCTGACCAAACCTTGCACATAATGCTCTTTGAATACAAGCCATATACATATTCTGAATGTGGTGCAGTGGTCAAAATCTGCCTAGAGATTGTGTTTTTAATGAAAGAACCAGTCTATTGCCCTCTTGAAGAGATAAACCGGAAGAGGTGAAGTCTTTTTGTTGACTATGGTAAAAACTGAAATTGTCTCACAGCATCACTCACGCAAAGCTGCACAGACATGAGTGACAATCCATATTTTAGTTGATTCTTGCCCATTAAGACCATATAGCCCTGTAAGATTCAGGCTGAATTGGAACACCTCTCTTATCTTGCTTGTGTTTTATAGTTCAGCTAGCTTCGCCAGGCCACCAGATGCACGTTTAATGCCATAAGTAAGGGACGTGCAGTTCAAGCTTGCTTTCCCCACTAGCTCTTTCCTTTGCAGCAGCTCCAGTGCACTGTTTATTAATCACTACCACCTGAGACCATTTTGCTTATATGAATCATCTTCCAATAATTACTCTGATGCAGATAAATATGGTCTTTATTTTGCAGCTCAAGAGCACAACTGGAAAGGCAGGACTGTTGTACAGGACACGAAAGTTCCTAAAGGCTCTTGCAATAAAGTCCTCCCAGCTGTTGTTGTGTAGGAGTATTACATGAGTGGAAGCACCCTGTCTGGGAGAGCATTACCAGCGTGTGGTAGAAGGCTGTGTAGGGAATGTATGTGCAGGAACAGTACCTCTGTGAGGAAGCACTCTGTGCTGCAAGAATGAGCTACTGAAGGAAGAGGTGCAGTGATGTCTCCAGTACGGTCTGAATGACTCCCTTGATCTATCTGACCTCCTGAAAGGGGCTGTAATACAAACATGGAGCACAGAGACATTAGTTGGCTAAATCTCCTTTATCCTGTAGACACTTTGCAGCAAGCGCATGCTCAAAAATGCTGGTATCACTTACAATCTCTGCTTGTAGAAGATGAGAAAGGCAAAGTAGACTCTGAAAAGAGAAGGCAAGAAGTTGAGGAAAGCAAGCTCTTCTCCAGGATAAGACAAAATATAAACAACAAAAAGGCACAATCATGTCTAATCTGACATGGAATAAGCAAACTGGTTTGTGACTGATGTTTAGTACCCACACCTATGTGTGTATTTACCGCTGGGTGCAGATATCCAAGTCAGTGCAGATTTGTTTCTCTATCAGTATGCAGACTGTATGGCAGACAGCATGTCATTAAAGGTTTAGGATTTTAGAGACAGCAACTGTGCCTGTCCATCTGTCTTGTGAAGTGTTTGTCACAGTGAAGGGCACCAGAAATACTCCTGAATTCCACTACTGAATTTATTCCCCAAACCTGGTCAGATACTGAAAATCTATCACAAGAACATGTCCTTTATCTGAATACCAAACTAGTGGCCAGAAAGTCATGATTGGTTCTACACCAAAGTGGCTTGAATATCCTACATCCCCCTGAGTTTCATTCTACTGGAAAGAAACAATTTCATCTTCTCCTCAAGATATGGAAATCTCACTGGAGCACTAAGATTTCTTGGAATTCTTTAGGCAAGATATTTAAGGCTGACTAAAGAAGTTATTTCAGGTTGCATCAGAAGGTGTTTACCATTGAGCAGAATATATTTTTTTCTCTCCCTCTGGGATGAAAGATCTAGATTTCACAGATAGAAGAGTTTTGAAAAAACTGCCACAGGACTGTTTTGGTAAAACTCCCAGAATATATTACCATTACCAAGTGTAGACAGAGTGGCTTTGCTCTGCCTATTTTTCTAGTTGATGCAACATGAATTATGTTTATCTTAGTACTCATTTATGAGCACAGAACTGTGCACAAATTAGGCAGTTCTGTCTCATCATGGGGTCTAACTGTGTAGACATAGCCTTAGACATTTTAAAGTAAGGCAATCTGTCACTCAAGTGAGGTACCTATATAACAAACTGTTGGCCCAACTTGCATCCTGGATAAACTGGCGGAGGAAGCCTGGACTGATGAAGATAAACTGGCAGAATCTTACACCAGTATTTCTGAGCAATCGTTAATGTCCCATACTAGAAACTGCCTCTTTCCAAAGCTATCACCCTTCTCTCACTCTCCAGGGCAAAATAAACTTCAAATTAAATTAATCCAACAGTGAAACATGACAAGACCTGTGATCTTACCTGTGTCTATTTCCCCTGATATTATCTGTTTCCTTCTGCTCAATGGAATCAGTTTTCTATGACGATCTATGGTTTTCTTTATTTTGCGCAAAAGTTGTGGGTCATTGGCTTCTACTGAAAAGCAACATTGCCACAAACTGGGCAAAGTATAAGTAGCATCAAACAAAAGCAGTACAATTCTCCTCAGTTTATCTGCTGTTAGAAGCATGTCTAAAAGTGTTCGGAAGTATTGGTCTTTGTAGACTGGTATAAGTGTAACAGGAATAATTTTCATGGGTTTCTGCATGGCATGTATGATGGTATCTCCACCAACAAAATTCCTGTAACCATGGTAACAACAATAATCATCATTCTCCAGGACTTGAACAATCTTCTCATTAATAAAACTGTCAACAGCTCTCTGCTCCTTGTTCCGTGGTGCAGGAGCAGATGGGATGTAGAGGTCATAGCAATACAGTTTATGACAAATGAGGTCACCTGAAATGACAAAAGATGAGTAATAGTACAGCTCACTTCACTCAGCCAAGGATATTGGTTTCACATGGGAACATTCTTCCAGGAAATCCAGTTAACTTCACAGTGTAATCACTGCTCCTTCACTAGGAAGAAGAACATTAGTTTTGCCTAGTGCAGATGCATTTGGGCAATGTGTAAACAGGTATTAGCAGCTGAGTGAAATTCTATACTTTGAATGAAAGGAAAAGATCATGGAATCATAGAACAGACCAGATTGGAAGGGATCTTGAAAGATCATCTAGTCCAACCTTTGTTGGAAAAGGAGCCTAGGTGAGATTATCTAGCACTTTGTTCAACTGCATCTTGAAAACCTCCAGTGGTAGCAACTCTACCATGTCCCTGGGGAGATTGATACAGTGATTGATTGTTCCCACTGTAAAAAATTTATTTCTTAATATTCTTTCTTATATTAAGATGAAACTTCTCCTGGTGCAACTCGTACCCTTTGCTTGCCCCTTGTCTTCTCCACGTGGCTCCTTGTGAAGAGAGCCTCCATTCTCTTTGTAGCTGCCCCTTAAGTATTGAAATACTGTGATGAGATCCCCTCTGAGCCATCTCTTCTCTAGGGAGAAAAGAGGCTACTCCTTCAGTCCTTCCTTACAGGTCAGGTTCTCCAGCTCTTTGTTCATATTTGTGGCCCTCCTTTGGACCATCTCCAGTCTTTCCATATCTTTTTTGAACTGTGGGAACCAGAGCTGGACACAGTACCCAGATGTGGCCTGACTAGTGCCGAGTACAGCGGGATAGGGCTGTCATCCCAGGTGCAAGCCTTTGCATTTGTCTTTGTTTAACTTCATACAGTTATTACTAATCTACTCCATGCACTGGAGACTTATTAGAAGATCACAGTCTCTCCTCAGGACTGTCTAAAGTTTTAGCTTAGCAAAATAACAAGTATGGAGCAAGATCTGATTTTGGTGGAGTAAGTAATTTTATTTTCTTCCCATTTTATTCTATACACTCATAATATTTAACCTGAAATTGAGACAATGTTCTGGGAGAGAAAAATGGCCTCCCTGGGTGCTTTATGAAGTGACTCTGAGGGACTAATTCCAAAGTTACAGTAACTGAAGTTAAAGTAAAATTACCCACTACCTTCAATAAACAATGATCCAAGAGGCATTGATGTAATTACTAGCCAATCTGGGCAGTGACACTGCCATACAAAGAAGCCCCAAGCAAAGTTCAGGTTCTGCACACACTCTAATGTTGGAAGAAAGTAGATGTGTATTTCAGGTTAAGGTTTTACACACTTAAGTCACCCTTGCATTTGGTTCTTTTTAAAAATTAGACTTGGTGCATTTGTAAATATTGCCATCAAGGCTTTGATACTTGAGTAATCAGCATTTGCTCTAAAGTTCCCTGTTAATGATTTCAGAGAGAATGATCATTTCCAAGGGTTTCCCTTTCTCAATCTCCTCTGATCTACCCCCACAGACCTGGGACAATATTGACCTCTTAATAGAGGACTTGAGGGATGTTCCTGGTTCAGAGAACAATGCTCTGAGCCTGTAGACCAGCTGCAGTTTGCAGCCTAGACAGACTGGTTTTGGAGGCCCTTACCACATTTCCTTTCTCCACACTGCTGACAGGTTTCTGTCTCACTGTTGGTATTCATCCTTCTCAGGGAATTTGTAGAGTCACAGAGCAAATGTATGGGTCATTCACGTGTGTGTACTTGATCTCTCCCCGGTAATGTTCCTTGTGCTGTTTTCAATCAGGCACAATTGTTAAGCTGAAGTAGATCACTGTGGACTGACTTTTCATATTCCATGGCCAGACCAGAGCCAGGGATCAGGATCAAGCCTGGAGATCAGACCAGTTAAAGAAGAAGGTCAGACAGTAAATGTTAGGAGCTGAGGAATTCTTACAAGAACAGTTTGCAGCATTTCAGAACCTAACAGGCAGTGGTGATCAAGGAAGAGTCCTTTCAGCTCCAAAGTATCAACTTTTCTATGTGTTCTAGCTCCCTCATTGTGGTATCATTGAGGTCTTTGTGGAGGAAACATAAGATTAGGTTTGACAAAACATTTATGGCAGCTTCCACTGCCCTAGGAGGCTCAGTTTTCTTCCCCTAGAAGCATTGGTAGGGTGGTCTTAACTGTTCTGCTGCCTTGCTTTCCAAGTACTTCTTTACAAATATCTGGGTGGTAACTTGCATGTCCTTGAGGATACTGGCACTCATCTGTGCAAAACACTCAGGAAACAATGCGCTATTGTTTTCATTCACATCTAACAACACACATCTCTTCCAGTAACTGAAAAGCTATAGAACAGGACAGAGCAAGGTGGGCCTATTCATTTTGATCAACATAGTAGGATGTATTACTGCTACATTTTCAAGTACACTTGCTACTTTGCATCAGTTTCCTTTTCTAACTGTTAGCCATGCTGCAACTGGAAGGAGTTTTCCCAGTATCCTTTCTCTTACTAGGTTCAACGCTTATTAATATGAAGTGCAAAATTAAATAGTGAAACTATCCAACTGCCTCCTGCTGGCTCCCAGCTTCTGATGAACAAGACTTTCTCACAGCCTTCTTCTATTCCCTCCCCACCAAGCAGCTCTCTCCAACCTCTCCAGAGAGCTCACTCAAACAGTGGTCAAGATCTCCACAAACTCTGTCTAGAAAAGCTGATTTGCTTTGATTTGTTGTACCACACCTTACCTCACCAGTCTCTACATTTCTCTCTGTGCCAGACCACACCACAGAGCTTCTGGATAGACAAAAGGACTAATTACAGGAGTAACTGAGCTGAAGACTCATTTAAAAGGCTGGTATTTAAAAGGTTCAGCATCTCAGAAAAACAGACCGATCACCATAGAGCCTAATTCCTGTTTTGTAGGTCATCAGATGTTGTTAGAGTTTCAGTAAAACTGTATTAGCATGGGTCCTTTCTGGGTCTATAGGAATTTTCTACAAGTAATTATATGCAGAATTTACCAAATTTCAGCTCCCACTAGTTCTTAGTGGGTACTGAATGCTTAATGCCCTTTAGTAGATGAAACAACCCTGTTCTGCCAGTAGATTAATAAAAAGTTCTGCTCAGGAGCCAACACTACACAAGTCATTTCTATTAATATTTCTGAGTCCCCATCACAGAACTTGTGAAAAGTCAGGGGGCATAAAACATGGGTAGCTTCCAAGAAGGACACATTTTGTGCTGCAGTTTTTGAATGCGAGCAATGTATTGCATCCTTGTACTCCACACAAATTGCTGAGCAACAAAATATGCATCCAGATATCACTGGGTTTTAGAGAATATCCCATCAGACACATGCTCTGGTCCTAACCACCACATATACCCCTGGCCTAAACAGTCATGCAACTGCTCTGACTTGGTAATGTAACAAGGTCAGGCAAAGGACTTTATCTGCCACAGGCAGATCAAGGACATCATAGATGACACATCAGTTTCTATGAGTGTGTGTGTGTGTTTAGGCATGTGTGAAAGATAACCATGGTAGTGAGACCAGATACACACATCACTTCTGAGAATAAGGACTTCAAATCCAAACCATGGTGGTTTCCTGTGTGTTGTCTGACTGAGCCCAGACTAGATGAGAAAACATTAGTAAAGGTGAAGACCCTGAGAGGATCAAGAAGACCCTATGAGTTCCAGTGCATCTCTTATAACATTGAATCCCACTTATCACTTTCTCTGAGACAACTGGATTTCATTATTGACCTGGAAACACAGGTAACTTGAGGGAGCACTAATTGCTTTTTCTCATGGTTTTCTGTTTCTGAATGTTGTTTCCAGTCAAATAAGCAAAAAGGAAAGAAGAAATCTGCAGACACAAGGTCCTCCATTTATGGAAAGGAAAAGACACTTCAAGAGCAACACCTGTAAAGTAGATCTAGCAGTAGATAAGTCTGAGGCGGTGAATACACTATTAGCAGTAACTAATAACCCATCTGTATCTAGGAGGTTTAAAAAGAAAGAAAAGCATACCCTTTACCAACAAATGCCTATCTAATTACAATGGGATCTCTGGCTGAACCTGTCAGTGAGTCTTGCCTGGTGACATTTTTCCCAAGCACTTTTGTCTTGCAGTTACCCAATGAACACAACAGCAACTTGGATTTGGGGAGCTGAGCCAAACAGTGCAGTTCATCCTGCAGGGAGTATGTCAGGAAGGATGAGGAAAAAAATAGCAAATACCAAGACAATCTTTTTTATAACATCACTGGGGTATTCGATGGTTAGGATAGAGATACATGTTTTACTGCCTCCACAAGAAATAAAAGTAACATTACTTACCACATGGTGATCACAAGTCTCACCAGGATGTCTGCTCCTTCCTTTTCTTATGTCTTGAATAGAGATTTTATAGAGAGAACAAAACATCCTTCCTAGTCTCTCCCATTGCCAGTACCTTTTCTTTTCTTCTTCCCCATTCAAAGCTGAATCCCACTTATGTCAGCAGCTGCCTGGGAAAAGCAGTGGAAAATGCTGGTGTCTGCTGGCAAAACCACCAGAGTCTTAGACCCTGAAATGTGTGGTAAATTATTCAGGACATACCTCTCTTCCGAGGCATGATCTTGCCCTTATTTCAAGCTTTTTCACCTTGTCTTGGTGTCAGTTAAGCTAATTAGTAGAAGAGGTGGAGATATGAACTTTGCACTCATACATGAAGATGATCAGTGCCTTGTTTCTTCCTGCAATAGGTAAACAAATCATGGCAGGCCCACTTGCCACCTTGTGGTGCTTCCTTAGTTTCGGCAGAGGTCTTCCAAGAAGGAAGTCTATGAACAATTGAATTTACTGACTTCCCACATATCTTTTTTCTTATTTTTTTTTAATGAGGTCATAACTCAGCTATGTAATTACAGATTGAGCCTAATCACCAAGTATTGGATTTTAAACACTGTAAAACTAAAGTTTAAAGGCTGCTGGATGTACAGCTTTAGTTATGCTTACCAGAGAAGACGAATTTGAAGCTGGATAGAGACCTACCAAAGTCTAGGTATTAAAACTAGGATATTAGGTTCCAACTCAACTCTTACAAGCAAATATTTGAACAACAGCTCACTTAGTATTTCTTGCATTGCACTGAAGGTATTCTCTACTACACTGAAGCACTGTCTACCACTTTCATATGAACAAACAGGAAATTTGTTCATCAACACAGATAATTGCTGTGTGGATTGTGAAGCAAACCCAACTTTCTAGCACAGGATGCAATCCCCGAGTTGAACAGTAAGCAACAGCTCCAAATGAGACACTAAAAATCCATGAGCTGATACACTGCTATCCTACTAAACTGATGACCTCCTCTTACCTGGGTAGCGACTATTTCATGCTCTGAATCTTGGTTATAAGTAGACAGTTAGAGATGGACCTGAGCTAGAAAATCTGACTCTCTAGATTTAGAGGCAGAATTACCCAAAGCCAATGACTGTTCAGATCTAGGGTCTTCATCCATGTTTCTGTCTTGTTCGTTATTCAGTTAAATTCAGTTAATCTTATCCAGCCTTTTGCCTTGACATTACCTAGTTGCACTACTCTCTGAAAGCCAAGAAAACATACCTCTCTTAAATGAAAAAAGTGAGGGTTTGGCCCCTGACCCATTGAATCAAAGGCTGTTGCTAGTTAAAATGGTAGAGATGTTGACAAATCTGTTGAAGCTGAAAGGACTTAATTCAACTTGACTTTTCCTGCTCTCACTGACTGTGGCATAAGCACAGACTTTATGAAACCTACTGCAATTATCCTCACATTCATGTAGTGTTTAGGAACTCTAATCCCATACACTTTTCTCTGTCACCCAAAATGCTGAACTCTTAAAGATTTGGCCTTGCCTGACTCAAAGATCTCTGTCTTTGTTTTGTAATGAAATAGAAAAAGCTGAAGCTCTCAAAGGTCTGCTTTCCAGAGAGTAATGTCTGATAACCTGAAAAGCATCTACTCTTCTCTTGGGAAATCTCAAGAGCAGAAGAAGCACTGGATAAGATGATATTCCCTCCAGACCAAGAGCTGGCACATGAACACCCTGTTCAGAATTGTCCTCCTGCCTTAGGTAGAAGTAAACCCATCACACAAAACCACAAGTATTGAGCATATCAAAGCAACAGCCCAGTTAGGACATTCTTGCTCAATACCAGGAAGGGCTGTCCTCTAACTGCTGCTAGGAGACCCCATGTGCCAGGAGGTGGCCAGCAGGCACAGTGAGAAAGCCTCAGACAAGCAGATCTTCTGAACAACTACTTGCACATAGAAGCAGCTTCTTCATGCCCTTCAACCTAAGTGTGTATTTAAACCAACAGGTGGTCTAATACAAAGGTAAAGGTACTGAGTACAAGCCAGCATGCCATACCCAAGCGGTAGACTTTGCACGTTTGAAGTCTGCTTTAGTACAGTAAAGGATGAATGAGGACTCATGAAAAAAAAAAAAAAAAAAAAAAAAAGAACCAAACCAGAAACAAACAAAAAACAGAACAGTGTTATGGTATTGACCCTAGCAATCAGAATTATAATTGAACAAGATTACCAGCTCTGTTGGAGGACTAGCAAAATAAGCCAGGGCTCATCTTGATGGTACCGATATTATGCAGGGCTGAAGAGTTACTTTAATATAATATTGTTGCCCCCTAGTGCTTCAGAAAATAATCTGTCCACAACTACTAGCCATAAACAGACATGAGGTATGGGAAACATGTCACTTCCATGAATGAACAGGAAAGGATCAAAATAGTCAGCAATATCTATAAAGGCAAAGATTAAACACAGCTCTGAGTGGGTATAAAACCAGAGTCTTTAATTATTTCAAATTAGATATATCATTTTAGAGCACCCCAAGAATTTTGCCCATTTTTATTTCTAGTATCAACAGATTATCAACAAATAGATCTTCTGCCTTCCTCTTACTGTATCCTGAGGCAAAGGCTTTCATCAAGAGACTGATAGTTGCTGAAGATAAGATGGCAACGGCAAATAATCCACAACACCTAAAACCGCTCTTGACACTAAAATTGGCAGTACAGGGACACTCTGATATATTATAGGTATTAGATTATCTTCTGATCTCAATGGTAACTTCAGGTCAGCAGTCTGAACATCCCTCATGGTCTCCGAAATACACTCCACATACCTCTGCCGTTGATGTGCCTGTTCTGTGGCTAAAGAAAGTTCATTAAAATAAACTAAGAAACTAAGTGCAAAATAATCTCTATTTATATCTGCTTAAAAAAAAAAAAAAAAACAAAAAAAACCAAACAAACAAAAAAAAAGAAAAAAAAAATGAACAAACGCTTAAACCACTGTGTTGCTTCTGATTTTAAAAGTGATTGCACAGGTCTATGAGAAGCAGCTGAAAACGAGTACTTCAGCTATCTTTCACTCCTGCCCTTTCAAAGCAATCTATTGTATATGCATTCAATTAAAAAAAAATGTTGTGTTAGAAACCACCTCACAAAAATGAATACTGTACATCTCCAGTCTCTGGGGAGATCTGTCAGAAGCAGCAACACCTTCTTCAGCATCCCCATCTCACTGTATAGGGCAATTAACCTTTCCAGTGTGCCAGATAAAGGCATATTCAGACTGAAATTTAATTCTTCAACTGGCAAAGCTCTTTCCTCCTGCCATTACTGAAGACAATCAGCAATTTATCCGTTATTTTTTCCATTTATGTGGACAACTGCAACATTAGCTTTTGCTTTGCACGAAAATTCTAGCAGTAAGGGAAGGAAATTCAGGCCTTCTGGTCAGATCACAGAACTGACATCCTTATTTTTCTGAGTTTTGCCTCTGATTTTGTGAGTAGTTATGGATAAATGTCTACAGATTATATTTTCCCTCTGTCCATGTAGTTGACATATATTCTGCGATGTCTACTAGCAGAGTATATGCCTCCTTTTGAGATGGCATTAATTTCTCACAGATGTGAAAAGGTCTAGCTAACCTTTTCTTGACCCTTTTAGACTCTGCTCTCCAGCCAAAACCTAAATGCAGGTGACAACTTTCTACCCATCTAAAGTTCCTCCTGTGTCTATGATGGTTTACCACATTACTCTACACTTCCAGTCATGGCACCTGCCTGTGTCCTGACAATATATTTATATTGCTGTATGCGTGTACCTGTGTGCATGTGAATTAAGACAAGACAGTGAGCAGTCAGTCCCTCCCTTGCCCTGTATGTTGGCTGCATCAGTGATGGCAGCATCTGTGTGCGTGCATATGTCTGTGTCTGGCAGGATCCTGGAGACAAGGCTTCCTCGATGAGCCCATCCTGCTTCCCCATGCCCTCTGCTGAGGCCATTGCTTGTGTCAGCCGCGATGTTCAAACTTGGTTCATACAGCCTATCTGTTTAGCGGAGATCACAAACTTGGGGAGGCAACAGAAGCTGAATTTGAATGCCTAAGCTGGTACAATGAAGTTCCTGATAAACCACAGAAACACACCAGTGTCCTCCAGTGGCTGCAACCACTAAGGCTGGGCCACTGAGGTCTGCATCCAGTCTGGATCTCTTGAGCGGCTGGTTGCAAGTAAACCACCTGTTGCTTTGATTTTACCTATTGGAGACCTAAATCTATGGACAAGCTGCAGATACATAGTTTCAAGCAGGAGGAATTGCAGTCTACAAAATAATGACTGAAATAGCCACTGAAACATGGTCATTGTCAACTGCCCACATGGTGGTAACAGATAAGAGGTTTAAAGAAAGTCTTACAGCAAAAGGCTCCAGGAAGTTAATCTATTCAGTTTACCAAAAGAAAGGGGAAGGATGTGGTAGGGAACTAGTCAGAGTAGGATCTTCAGTCACCCAGAGCTACTGCAAGAATCTGTTGCAAAAAGCAAAAACAGTACATGCAGAACTAGAAACACAGCAAGTATCTTTCACAGCTAGAGGGATTTACCAGTGAGATAAGTGACTCAAGCATCAGGGTGAACTGTGTATTTCAGTAAATCATGAGCAGACTATCAGAAGACAGTTTCCTAGATCAAGCACACCTGTATTGAACTTGAAGAGGGAAATGCTTTGGGGAAATCCACAGACCTATGTTATGCTGAGATCAGTCTAAGCAACCATAGCCACATCTTCTGAACATAAAATTCCATGACTCAGTTAACCTCTAATTTACCAGCTATGTCTGATTGTGCAATATTTATTCCTGTTTATAGTACAAATAAAGCAAACTAAGCACTTCGTGCTACTATCTCAGTGTGTGCAATTCCTTCCTAGATACCACGTAGCTACTACTGTGGCAGGAAAGTCCAGCTGCTGATCCAAACTTGCTAGTTCGAAACAGGTCTTCTGGGGTCTATTCCATATTCTGCCCTATATGCAACAGTGCAAATACCTACGTGGCCAAGCCTGAACACGTTGTCTGCTCTCTAGAAGGGTAAAATTACCATGCCATAGGTAAACAACTTTCTCACAATCTTTCTATGAAGGAGGCACCTCAAATCAGAGCTGATCTGCTGGATTTCATTGCTCTTGTTCCATCTCCCCATCTGAACAATGGGGATTAACTGCAAAAAAAGTGAGTAGCTTACTTCATATGGGATCACTATGAAGTATGTGTGTTTTGTTTCCAGGGGCAGTGAGAATCATATTATTGCAAGGGAAATTTGGGGCTTGGGAAAGGGAATGTCACCTTACAGGGCTAAACTCACCGTGCAAAAAGAGGAAAGCATGGGAGGTCAGCGTGGAGAGTTGGGCTGGCTGCAGAGGTCTAAATCCTCACTGTCATCAATGAACCCAGAGTCAGAGACTTCAGCAAGGAAATGCCTGCCCTGTCCCCTTTTTGATGGTCTCTCTCCATCTCAAGGCCTCCTTTTCTCCTTAAGGAGAGATTTTTTTTAATCTGCTTGGGGAGAAAACATTAGGTTCTCTCTTGTATTTGTGACATTCCTTTACGACAATGCTTCCCAGTCCATTTCTTACTAGTACTAATAGTATTTTATGGTTGGAGTGTACTTTCCTGTGACCAAACACAAAGATGAAGGACTTAGATGCCAGAGCCTCCTGAGTTACTGTCAGGACTTTCTCAAGAGGACATCTCCCAGTTCAATCTTCCAGCCAACTGAGAATCACTGCAATTGGAAAAGACAGCAAGAAAGCTTGAGTTGAAGACACAGGCTAAATTCCCTTGGACTGACCAGCAGCAACAGTCATCCAGCTGACACATGCTATTGGCTGTCAAACCCCATTAGATGTGGGACAATGAACATCAAACAGTAATATCTATCACAAAGCTGAGTGCATGACCCATTTCAGGGAGAGCTGATCCTTTCATTTCTACCTGGAATGATCCTGCAAGTGGACACTGTAACCTTAGTACTATGACTTAGGTCACTTACCTCTGTACAGGTCATAGCTAAAGATGTAGGGGAGGAACATATGGCCTATGCATAGGAAGATGACTTTCCGGTGGATGGTGACCAGTTGAAAAGGGAGCAGGGAGTGGGACAGCAACATGTACCTATCTGGTGCCCGTGTTACTTTTAACCTCCTTACCTCCTTCCACAGCCTCTTCTGCAGTTGGATCAGACTGCTAATATTGACCTCTAAAGCTGCACAGTCAATTCCCCAAACCTCCCATCAACCCTACTTGTATCCCAGGTCTGTGGTCTAGAGCAGGGGGAACAGATGCAAGAGAACAGTCATCAGCCTCTCTTCCCATATTTTGTTTTCTAGACAGATACATGACTATGCACATTATTATCATATGAAAGCTCAGGCAAGGGGACATTCACTGTACACAAGGGAAGGAAAAGAGCTACAGCTGGCATGTTGGATATATTGCATCAGCTTGTTGCATTTTTTGCCTTTTGCATGTAAGTTGTGCCTGTTTTTTTTTTTTTTTCTTCATTTGTCTTGCTTGTTACAGTCTCTGATCCACTGGTCCAGTTCCAGTGTTGCTACACAACTGCATGCCTCAGCTCCACAGTCATCACTTCTTATGGGTTGAAGTAAAAGGATGATGCACAAGTCTTAAATGTACTTCCTCAATAACAGGAAGTGGTCTTACCTTCCACATTTTTGCTGAAACTCTTCAGCTGGGGGGAGAAAAAGGGAATAAGACTGCTCTACAGAGTCTAAATGCCCATGTTTCATATAAACTAGAAAGAATGTAAATTTTAGTAGTACTCTTTTCCAAGTCACACATGAATGATAGAAATAACTTTATTTATCAAAGTGAAGGAGTTTCATTTCTCTACACAGCATTGTGCTTATTTCTACAAGGGTTTTGAGACATTAAGCACTAGATATTGACTTAAGACATAAAAACTAGATGTTCTTGTTCAGTTTGTTTCATTAGCACAAGAAGCTTTCTTATCTATTGAGAAAACACACTGCAGGCTGGTGAAAAGCTAGTACAAGGAACACATTCTGGGAAAAATAAATCAAAATTGTTATTAACAAAACTACAACTCTTAAATTTCCCAAACCTCATTTTTGCTTTCATTACCTCAGTGACTTTCTCAACTTTAACCAAAGCCCAAGTACTCAAACCTAATCACCTCTAAACAAAACAGACAAAATTCAGTTGCTTCTAAGGTGGAACATGCCAATTATGCTTAATTGGCCAAATTGAAAGATTCCACTTAGAACCAATTAACCCTTCTCCACAACTTTTATCATTATATGAAGTAACCTCTTCATCCCCCACAAAGCAGAAGAAACTACCCACAAAAACCAGCAGCCACAGCAATGAAACAGGAGTCAAGCATAAGCACTGCTAGGTCTGTACTTGTTGCCGCTGTGCTAAGCAAAACATTTCTCCGTACATATGAATGATATCAAAATCTGCTGGCAGAGGCTAAAACAATCTTTCCTAGTTTTATGTAGAAAATATATAGGTTTATGTAGGTACAAAATTTTCGTGTCCTGTGACGCAGGATATCTCATTTCACATGAACTCAGTAAGTCATAAAACCCCATCAGCTATGTTAAGAAATTGTCCTGCTTCTATCTTCCATCCTGATTAGGACATTCACAGTTGTAGTGAAAATGCTTAACATTTGTTTTAATCAGATTAAAAAGAATGCATAAACTTTAAAGATTATATTTTTATATGTTACCAGTGCCACCTATTAAAAATAGGAAGGATTTCAAAGATGTGACTTGCTTATTGCTTGTGATACTATTCTCATTGAATAAGATAAGTGAATCTGTGATTATATTGTTTTGACCAGGAGAGGGAAAGCTAACAGGAACATGGACATTGATTCTAAAATCAATTAAAAAATCTTGGAAAAATAAACTTGCAACAGATTTGACCTAGAGGGTTGTCAACTAAACTTTGTCTGCAATATCAGTCATAATCAAATTTGTTTTGAAAACCCAAATAGACTATATGTTATCTCTGATGGAGAGGGTGGGTTTCTTATTTTATCCATTTCTGAAAGTTCATTGAAAAGAAGCATATATAACAGGAAAACATCATTAGCTTTACATGCCTCCAGACTCTCCTCACTACCTGCTCAAACAGCAACACTGTTGGGAATGCGATCTGGGGAAAGGTAGTAGTAAGGAAGCTTTTTGTTCTTGTTGCGCTCAGTGATGGTGTTGACAATCTCATCCAGATTCTTGCGGAATTTTGCCATGGCCTCTTTCACCGGCTTCTCCACGAAGTGTTCATCGGGGTACATGCCCAGAAACAGCTAATTGAAAAACACCAAGAAATCATGCTTTGAGAAGGCAAAGTCTATTCTGTTTCAACATTATGTCATCCAGGAAAACAACACCCAGAGCCTTACAAATGCTACTATGAAAATAGTATTATCAACAATAAAGCTAGCCTACAATGGTACTGACAGAAAAAGATGTTGTGCCATCCTCCCTCCACCGCTGGCTGCTTCTTTCTATCCCTGCATCCTTCTGTAGTGCTGGTTTAGGTGTCTATGTGACACCTCCTCCACCTGCATGGAGCTGATCCACTGAAGAAAATAATTTTTATTCAGGCTAGTGGTCAGCTAGATCAGCTTCCCAACCCAGATCTCTGCACGGCCACTCAAACATTTGTGCTGTGAAAGAAAATGACAACATGGGAGGGGAATGAACAGCCATGGATGAAAAAGGAAGACAACCACTTCTTTATTTAACAGTGGAAGTTTCTGTTGACTTAAAACTGTCCTTCAAAGTCCAGCCTGACAGTTGCTTTAGTCAGGCTTGGACTCTAAAGGTGGCCTGAATACCTCATTGCCAATATACCTATTGTCATATTACCTCCTTTAAGTAACTATTTCCCATGATACTACCCATATGACTAGCTTCTCAGCTGAAATCTGCTTTCTTCTTAAAGAGAAACTTCATTTTACGTACCCTCTGTCCATCATCTTCCATTTAACAATTTCAAAACACATCCTCCAGACACAGCCCTTAGGTAAGACAACCAAGTACCTACAACTGCATTTTACATGAGAGAAATGGCTACAGACCATGCTCACGAAGCCTCCTGTGGGCTTGTTTTGTTTGCACTCCACAACAGTCAGGCACAAGCCACAGCTGTAGTAAATGTGGCACTGGGGCAGATTTTCCAAAGGGACAGGACATTGGGACACAGCAGGGCTGTATCTTCTCCACCAGCACTGCTGGAGCAAGGACTGGAGAAAACCCTTCTGCCTTTGCAGCCCTCTTCCTCCCATACCAGCACCCTTACTCAGCAACACTGTATTTGAGTTTAGAAACTTTCATTTTGGCTGAAACACAGCCTCAGAGTAAAAATACGACTTTTTGCTCGGAGCTGGTTTACATCTGGCAGAACAAGGGCAAACCCACATCACTGATACATCTCCACAGAAAGACAAACGTGGTCAAGTCAAGCACAAAGCAGCACTACAATCTCATGAGTCTGTGTGGTCTTACCATGGCATTCATGGTCTCACCTACATCTCCGACACCTAGAAAAGGGAGATTGACTTACTTCGTTATCTTGGAATTGGCTCAAGGCCCAGACAGCTCCAAGATGCCAACAAGAACGTCCCCTGTCTGGCAGACTCTCCACAATTTGCTCAATGGTGACTGTCCCCTTTTCCGTTGGAGGAGGGCAGCGCATTGTTGGTGGGGCATTGGGAATCCAGGAACACCAGTCATACTGTACAACAAAGCAAGAGATCACAGTGAAGAGCCACAGTGGCTGGTATTTAGGAATATTGTAAAGAAAATCAGGAGTCTTGACACCAGGGAGTTTGCTTCTGTAATATGAGCCTCTCAGAAAAAGAAGATACTAACTAAAGGACAGAGAGATGCTCTAGAGGACTGATGGAGAAAAGGAAGTCCCTACTGTCTTTCTCAGGATCTCACAAGGGAGACAGTTGGGTTGTCTAAATGGAAATATTTATTCTGCTAACCACAGGCATGTGCCACACAGCTCAGATTCACCATTCAGGATAAGAATTTACCTATTTATTAAACAAAGATCTCTTCTGATAAACTGAGATGACCTCTGATAAGAAACCTATAATTGATAAAAATCTCCTTTTCTCCAGTTGCTCTTTTCTGCAAAATTTGCACTAAGAACATGTCCACAGTACTGTGGTCAGGCAGTAAGAGAGACAAAGGATGCTGGTGCATTGTGGAATATGGCATGTGGATGTGGCCATGGTGAGTGCCAGACTGGGAACTCAGAATCACTTCTGGCTTGCTTCAGTGTTGTGGGATGGTGATGTCTCATTTTGCCTCAGATATGACCCAGAGTTTTGTCGCCATCCGAGATATTGCACTTACCATAACTGTTTCTTTTCCAGGCATTTTTTCATTATCTTCATACATATCCCCTGCTCTGCCTGAGGGAAAGTCCCATTTCAGCTGTGTAACACGCTTACACTGTGTTCAATCTGTTCTTTCCAGTGCATAGCTATCTCCTCCTACCCTCACCCCTCTCTATCTGCCATTTTTTCCCATTGCTGAAGACCCTCTACCTGATAGGCTCAATATCGTCTGCATGCCAAATTCCCCCTCTCATTCTCTGAAAGCTCTCCGCTAAACCCTAATAGCCTGGGCTATTTTAAGAAATGGTTTCTTACTGGTCCTTGAATAGACAGGATTTCCTGAGGGGGGAGCTTGGGAGAGGTCTCAATCACCTGTAATGACAGGTTAGAAGTGAACAGTCATAGAGGTCTCTGGTCATGAATGAGGCACAGTAATAGTGTGGGTTCATTTGATACCTGGCTCTAGATCTGCTCCAGGACTCCTGAGCTGCAGGGGTGGACAGGAGAGCCAACACGGAATGGGATGTGTTTGGGAATAATCACAATAGGAAAGATGGTCTCCCTGCTTATCTGTGAGATCATCCATGCCTGAAGCCAGAACTTGTGCCAAAAAAAAACCTCACAGAATCACAGAATATTTCAAGTTGGAAGAGGCCCATAAGGATCATCGATTTCAACTCCCTGCTCCTTGCAGGACTACTTATAACTAAACCATACGACTAAGGTCATCATCCAGATGCTCCTTGATCTCTGACAGGCTTGTCACCATGACCACTTCCCCAGGGTGCCTGTTCCAGTGACCGACCACCTACTCAGTAAAGAAGCTTGGTGTAATACAGACTAACAAAGAGATTTGATTCCAGCTGTGAAGTCTGCTTTCCAAAATGCCTTGATGTTGGAAGAAACAGCACTTGAAAAGCAGACTGTTACTATAATTTCAGAGTAGATATGTCAGTAAAAGCAGGCAGGGGTAACACAGGCTATCAGTATGTGACACATTAAACATCAGAGAGGAAACTCAAAGTTGCCAGTTGGCCTGCAAACTCAAGAAATGCCCTTTCCATGCACTGGGAATATTAAGCACATTAGTGATTTTGAAAACTTGACCACAAATGAACAAAGCCTAGATCCTCACAGATGTATTGCCTCAAATTTCTATGTATGTCAGTGGGAGTTAAGTATCTAGATATCATTGAAGATCTGGACTCCTGTCCCACTGACTTCAGTGAGACTTTATCGTGTAGAGGCTTGTCTGTGCTGCTGCAGAAAGTAGAAGTGGAGGTCCTGCAGACATGCAAGGCAGCTTTCAACTTTTTAACTCAAGATCCTTGGTAATTGCTCCACTACTAGTCCAGCTAGATCATTGTTCTGCTGGGACTGGTCTGTTGGAAATAGCCAGCTGTACCAACTGAAGTCAGATGGTGTCTGAAGCTACATGAACTGCAGACACAGCACTGAGCTGTGCTACACATGTTCCCTAAGCCACATCTGAAAATGGGATGTATGTTGCTTTCGTGCAGGCACACTGCCAAATTAACACAGCTTACAACAGCAACCCATGGTAGCCACCCATGCATGCACTCACAGCAGATGCAAAGTAAAGCCATTTAGTGTAACTCATTGCATTTCATTGCAGAATGTGCCACAGACTACCAGCACATATCATATCCAGGCAGTTCAGGTGATGTCTGGAAAGCATGGTAGCTAAACTATGCACCTGAACCCTTCAGCATTTCCGAGAGGGGTCTTAGCAACCCATTTAAATGCTTAAAAAAATTGTTCCCCACAATAGAATCATTAAAACTAAAATATACATGTTAGAACCACTAAACTTGAACTTTGGTACATACTTAGGATTCAAAATGCCTTTTTCAGCTTCCAAAATATTTGTTTCCACAGGTTTCATGGAGATTTGTAGATGGCTCTGCAGTTATTTGGACCAGAAAGAGTAATGTAATGTCTGTACATCTGCTAAAAAACATTTCTCAGACCTTGCCCTGGCAGATGCACCTCCCAGCCCAGAAAGTTCAGTCTTCCCAGAAATTCCTACCTGACCAAAATTCACAGCTGCATGCTGGGCCGATGTGGTGAATATTATCACAGTGAGATATTCTGTTAGCTTCTCTCGTGTTCTGATCATCTTAGGAAACCCTAAACGAGGGAGAAGAAAAGCTTAAGTAACCCAGCTATGGAGCAACCCAGTTACGCAGTAGTAACCAGCTACTCAAAAGGCATGAGTTAGAGTAGTGTGCAGCAGTCACTGAAGAGTGGGGCATTCTCCTGAATCTTGCAGAGTGCTCTAACAGGAGCTACTCAACCTCTCTTTGTCTTGGCTGTCCAGCCATAAAAACACAGAGATCCTGCTTTACCTCATACAGGTTTGTGAGGCATCACCACTGTTTGCAAAGTATGTGGTGTTTCTTAAGGGAAAGGCAATCTATAATTATACCTTTAAAAAATATCATATCCCTGTCCTCTCACCCTACCTACCCTGCAGCAAGGAACCCAGAGAGTCCACAGGGCAGGGGCCTCAGATGCTCCATTTTTCTTCAGTCTGCAGTGCAAGCAGGGAATGTTCATGCCAAGGAGCAAATGACCATGTGCTTGTATTTATAAAAGTCTGATGCTCAGCAATCAAGTGCACTGTGAGAAAGAGTGCAGGGAGAGCTTATCTGCTGAAACGGGAAGTAAGGAAATTAGAACTTCTGAAAAAGAAAGAACAGAATGAGGAAGAGAAATAGTTGCATCAAGCTGTCTCTAAAGGGTAATAATCAAATGGATCTATATAAAGAAGGAAGGGAATAGTCAGGGACTAGGGAAATACTTTGCTAGTAGAGGACCCCCAAGCCTGTATCTTTCTTATCCCCACTACATCAGTCTAGCGCTGTACTCCCTGTCCCAGCCCAGTGTGACCACAGGTCCCAGGATACCTAGAGACCTGTCATCACCCTGAGGTGAGCTGCCCCTGCTCAGGCTGCCTGTGCCAGCTGCTTCACATCTTCACCACCAATGCAGATGTGAACTCAACCTGAGCGGAGGAAGAGGCACACGGTAGCTCTGGCCAGCCACCAAGCCCAAAGAGATGATGCACCATCTCCTCCTCTGTCCTGCTATCCTAAGCACACCGTTCTCATCTTTAACGGGGCTTGGCATGTTCCCAGTCAGAGCAGCCCACCCAGAGCAGGAATGGAGTCTAGAGGGGGAGCCCCAGGTGCAATAGTCTCCCCCATTTATCTTCCTTCCATTCCTTACAGACCCAGTCAAGTCCCCCTGCTGTCTGCCCCAGCCCTTGGAGTGGCAGCAATGCAGACAGGGATGCTGCAGGCCTTGCAGGTTTCCCAACTGTAGTGGTAGTCCCACCATCAGTGGTGCTTGTAGCATCCCACCCTAGCTATAGCCCTGGAAATGCTCAGTACTTGTCCCATATCAAGATGCTTAGGTCAAGAATGAAGTTCCTACTAGCAGGTCAGTTCTAAGCTTTTACTAAGAGACAGCTAGACCAACAAAAACAATAGCAACTAGGTGTCCCCCAATCATTTGCTTGTTCAGGCAAGTAGAGCCCAGGAGGCTGTTACACACCAGCGCATACTGATAACGAGTGGAAACATCACATTTTTTGCCTGGAGTTCTCACACACGAACATGTGTACATGCAATGCCAGAGTCAGCTGCCCCTGATCACTGGCCAACAGGTATTTCGAGATGTAAATCATTCAGAACAGTATGAAGAATCCCCACCCACCTGTATAAATTCCTGAAAACCTGCTTGGACAAAATGTGACTGGAAGAAAAAAACATGTTTAGGGAAAGGCAGAAGAATGTTAACTCAAGCGGGAGAATAGCACTGTGTTATGGGTGAGAGCTCCCACAGTGAAGTAATGGCTTGCAAGAAATGAGAGGCAGTGAGAAGAGACAGAGCAGAGGAAAGTATTTCTTGGAAAGAATTATGAGTATCTTCTCTTGACGAAAGCAAAGCAGCTCAATGATGACACAGATGCTGAACAAACATAAATTGCAGCAAGACACACCTGGGGAGGTTCTGACTTATTCTTATTTGGTGCGAGGTTTGGGTGAGAGGATCCAAGGGGGTCTTGCTGCTACTTGTAATTTCTATCAGTCTGCTTGGTGGTTCCAACACCACATACACACAGGCCCTCCCCTAATATTTAAAGCATAAGCAGACAAGATCAAAGGACCAATCCCCAGTGTACAGAGAGATTACATGTGTTGCCCAAGCTCACAATGAGAATCTATGGCAAAGGAGTTATCTCCTGAAGGAGGGAGGGTCTGATCCAGGGTCTCACCCATAAAATTGAGCATCTTTGGGCCAAGAAGGGAGAGGGTCTCCAACAGTTCAAGGCATGCTGTGCATGCAGCATTGTGTCACAGCAGGGACTCAACACACTGTAGAGCTGGCAGGGCCATCATACCTTACCTGAGGCTTTCACACCCCTCATCCCATAGACGTATATGTCTTTGACGAAGGCCTGGAGCTCCACATCCTCACACACCACCTCATCACTCTCATAGTAAATGTGAATCACATCCTCTGCAAAACTGCAGACACAGGAACAAATGAACAAGACAAAACTAAAAAGAGAAAGCAAGCCTGCCATTCCCTGAAGACCTTGTACTGACCTTGCAGCGGAGGCAGATGCTGCATGGGGAGAGAGAGAAAGGAAGAGCAGGTGTTAACACCCTCCCACCTCCTTCCCACCAGCAGTAGGAATGCACAGAGGCAACTCTGATTCATTTCTAACTGCAGCATGATAACAACCCATAGGGTGAAAGATTTGACTGCAAAAGCTGACTGATGGGATTAAGAATTGTTAAGGAAGACAGATTTCTCCCCTAATAAGCTATAAATTTATCATGATTTGGAGACCTTTACAAATCTGTCAATGTGTATTAGCCAACCAAGTCAAGAGTTGTTACTGAGGCAAACAACTGCATAAACACCAACAGTTTAAGTAATTTTGACTTCCAAAGGAAGACAAATGAAAAGAAAAATCCTGCAACTTGTAGAGACAAAGCTGCCCTGCACAAGCTCTGCCTCCACAACCTGGCACCTGTGCCAAATGCATACAGAAGGTAATCCTTCTCTTACACAACAGCAGTATTTTAGACCACTTTCCATGTAAATATAAATTGTATAATAAGTATGGATAAGGCCTATCAAGTTGTATTATCTTTAGGTTGGAATATCTATCTGCAGTTAGATCAGAAATAAGAAGCTGAGTATTAGAGAAGATGTTTAAAAATTTGCCATGTGAGCCTCATTGTATTTATAGAGACAACCTTACCAGCTTTCTTAAGTGTGGGTCATCTACTACATGTGAAGCAATGCTGGGGATAGAAGTTATTTCATCAAAAGAGTGGAGACTGGCACCCCTGCAGAGTGTAGGACATTCATGGTGACTAGACACATGCATGACTGTGGGTTCAGGGGTCAGGATATCACACACTCAAAAGGGTATTGCCCACACCATTTATAAACAAAATTATTCACTTATAAAGAATCTCTCAGCCAAGTTTGAGTCAGTGTAACATCTTCCTCCAGCTAGGTTAACACCCACAAACAGTCAAACTAAACTGAGCTAAGTACTATCTGGTAACTGGAAAAGCATATCTCAATCAGTAAAGAAAACACAGGAAAAAGAAGATGGACAAATAATGGACTACATGAAGAAAACAGCCACAAAAAAGTTGTAACTTCCTTTTCTCTTAAATGGGCACTAACAATTGCAGGAAATATTACAAGATAACTCCTTGCCAACACAGAGAAAACATAGGAAACAAAGATGTACCCAACACTTTAAACATTATGCTTGCATTATAAACCCTCTACTTTGAGTACACAAATATATGATTTCTAATGAACGTGCTTTTCAACAGCCATGTGACCAGAAACAGCTGCATATTTAGCAAGCTACTTATGCCATGCAAAAATAGGTTGTTTGTTAAATGAAATGCCACTGCAGATCAAAAAACATATTAGTTACTCCATTCTGAGGTAGTTTCATATCTGAAAATGAGCCATGTTTGTGTGGTCGAGCAGCCTTGCAGCACCTCTTCTGACTAAGAATTGCTGCCCTTCCTGACAAAACTTCAGCCTTGCAATTTTAAGGCATTTTAAGAAAGGTTTTGCTAATGCCTATTTTATTGAGTTTCAAAACACAACTCTCATGCAAGCCAAGTTTATATTTCCACTCCACAAGAACCTTGACAAGCTCACATGGCTGGCTCAGAGAGCTGGGGTCTCTCTTGGTTTGTGCATAGTTGAAAAAAAAAAAAAAAAAAGTTAATTAAATTCCCTTTTCAGGGCTAAATTCCAACTCACTAAACTCCATTAAATCCTATAGAAGAGTACACACATATAAAGGGGCCTCTGAAATACAGAATGCTAGAAAACAGGGCTAAAAAAAGCAGGAATTAACAATATTTTAAAGGGGTGTGCTTGACTATATATTTTTCTTCAGATGAGATATGCTGGATGGAAAAGGCACCATGTGACTGAACAGCCCAGGTGCTGTTCATGAGACTGTGATAAAGAGCAAAGTGAGCAGAGAAAAAATTAAGTTGTGTCTCTGTGACAGTGACTGTATTAGCCATTTCTAGAACTATGATCTCTTACCTCTTTATAGCCTCCCAGACTTTAATGCCATCATCCCGGTAATAGTAGTAGGGGATATCTTCCTTGCTGTCCATCCCTTTAGCTTTGATCTCCTCAGGGAAGCAGAGGGAGCCATAAGTCAGATCTTTCATTGCTTTCTGCACCATTTGTACATGTCCTCCTCCACCTGTAGCATTTGCCTGCAGGAAGAATGGAAAGACAGGAACAGCTGGAGATTATGTTCACTTTGTGCTGAGGCTGGCTTTTCAAATTTGAAGGAGATGGTATCCAAAATGTTGGTGAAGCTGTTTTTCAAGGAGAAAACCACATCTCCACACAAACAAGTACCAAACTACAGAGATCTAGTGCAACTATACATTTTGACTTCAGAGATTTCACACCTCTCCCGTGAATTACAGTTAATATCCACATTTTCTCCACAGGTACAGCACCTGCTTTTAATGGAATACAGTAATAAAGTACAGCAACACTGAAGCATTGAACCCAAAGCACTTCTGCCAGCCCTATGCTCCAGAACCAGTGTGTGTGTGAAGAAAGGCAGTCAGGAGTGTGTTAGAACAGGGATTTTGCTAAACCACCCACTGCTGCCACAGAGTGGTTTAGGAGAAAGTGTTTAGGGATGCAGGCTATTGTTAGCCACCCTGGAATTTAAGCCAGGAGGTCAACCCCACTGGGTGGCTACTGATGAGGACTGAACAGGGTTTCAGTGTTACGTTTGGAAAACAGCATGTCCACAACAAACAGCACTGCAAAACTCTTTAGATAATCACTGCACAAAAGATTTCAAATATTGCTTTTCTAGCATATGATGCTAGTCTTGTAGCAGTAGTCAGCTTACACTTATTGTCCTCCAGCTGGTTGTTCACCTACATTGGAACGAACAAATTCTGGAACTCCAGGATCCCCACTGGTAGGTCTTAGCCACATATTCATCTCACATGCACTGGGTACGGACATTATGCTTCTGTTCAAAGGGGTGGGAGTGCCTGACAGTCTATGCAGTCAGCAGTGGAGCACAAAAGACAAGGAAGGTGCCTGGATTTAACCTCTCTCTTCTCCTTGGTTGAAAAAATCCTGAAGCGTGGAAGCTATTTTTGGTCTGGTGCCAGAGGTGTAAGGGGGACAGAGTTGTCCTGAAACACAGGCTTCCCCTTTGGAAGGACTTCTGAAACCTCCCCAAACTACCCACTTGCTGTTAGCATGTTGTCACAGAGACTGCTGCATGCCAACCTGATGTGGTTCCTAGATGCAGCACGTCATTTCTGGGAGAGCCAAGGGAGGAAGAGCTAGGTACATGTTAAATACCAGTGTGGTCAGATTTAGATGTTCAGATTTGACCTAAGAACTGCACCACAGCCCATGATAAACAGCTATGTTTCACTGACTCAGACAAAGCTTAGTTTTAAACCTAGCAAATGTGCTGTTTATGGCAATTCAATAAAACAGGCTGGAATATACACCCACTATTTGTGGGCTTAGAAATCTAACTTATCTACATGTCTTTCTGTGATGCAAATTTCTTTTTGCAATCACAAATTCATCACCTTGGCCCAAGATGAATAAGTGAGTACTTAAAAGAAACTGAGGACTTAACTCTGTGCATACATGTGCAGGGATGCATGTGCATATTATGTTACCTTGCACTCCTATACTTATACCCCAGAGTCTCACCAGCTATGAGTAAGTGAGATACTGACTCATTACTGACATTGGTCAGTTCTGAATTGGCTACTCAGAGGTAAAAGTTAACATCTTTAGCACAACAAGGCATCAGTTCTGTGTGCCAGTCTCTCAGGTGATATTACTTATGTTTGCCCATTAGTTGATGGGTCATAAAACAAGACAGTATGTGATGGCTGAATGATAAAAACACATATGGAACCATGAAGAATAATGAAGATTTGCAGAGGGGATTACTTACCTTGTCAAAAAGGCCACATTCACAGATAAGCTGTTCTCGGGCTTTGGTATTGATGGCTATTGTGAACCGCATGTGTGGCACCAAGAGCTGTGAAATGGGACAATGAAAGAAGGCAAATTCTCTGATTAAATTTAACAGCACCCAGGTGTAAAGTTTGAAGTCCTAAAACACATGGTGGCTTAGCTGTATGTTGCTTTGCAGGGCAGCCAGCCAAACTCTTTCATCTGAGTTATCACCAGGACTTCCTTTTGGTTTGTCAAACTAATGTGATAACCTCCCTGACTCACATACCTCCCTTCATGCAAGAACCAACCTTGAAGAGGGGATGTACAGCAGGCAGCTGCCGGAACATAGCTACGCTGAACACCTCTGAGACTAAGTGTGTCCGTAACAGATGGGTCACTGTCTGGTGGATGTGGAAATCAGATGAACGAACCCAAATTTTAGCTAGCAGCCAGTCATATGTGGCATCTGAAGGAAGGAATATGGGATTCTCTGGCCCAGGTTTTTGACCAAGCTGAAAGATATAAAAAGAATATAAAACCCCAAGTCATTCATGTTTAAGATGAGACAACAAGCAACGTGTCCTTTAAGGACTCTGACAGTAAGCCCACCTGAATTGCAATGGGTACAATTTTATTCTCCAGATTCTTATACAACAGACAGATGGGTGCAGCCAAGTACTGTACTGTGCACGGGTCCGTTTTATTGGCATCTACACCATCTAGCAGCTCGTAGTCCACAATGAAAATGTTTCCTTGCTAGGGAAGAATAAAAAAAAAAAATAAAGCATGATGTGTTTTAACAGAGTGCAAGCAGCAAGGCTTGAAACAGAGGTCAGGAAGTCTTGGCCAGAGGCTGGCTTGTGCCTTGTTACAAGTGAGTGGCCACTGGACCATCCTTGCTCATGGTGTCTCAGTGATGATGACACTGGGACAGCAGGTGCCTTTGCACAAACTACTTGACTTGTGTCTGCTGAGTCTGATAGTGAGCCTTTCAGCAAAGAGCAACTATGTATTTGACATTCATGCAGTGACACCAAGATGTAAACAAATTTCACACTGCCAGCTGAAGAGACCCCCATGCTCGTCCTACAAACAAAAGCAAGGCACCACCCTTATATCCACCGTTCTGCAGCATGTTAGTTCAACTCTGTGGTAACATTCTAACAACAGGGTAAGATTCTAACAGGAAAGGGAGAGGCAATTATCCCCTTTGAGGCAGTTGGTCAATCCCTAACCTTTCAGAGGAAACCACTGAAAAAGGACCCTTCACCTCCTGGTGACTTCTCTTTAACTGGACCTGGAGAAAGGCACAGGCTCCAGCATAGCAGGAGAAAACAGGCAACAGAAGTGTTGCCAGTCTGCTGAGACAACCAGCACTGCTGTGACCAACCATACAGCCTAAAGAGAGGAGATGTGGCTGAAGGTGGTTAGAAGATGATTTGGAGGATATGAGAGGGAACAGATGGAGCCCAAACTGACTCAGAGCTGTACCTTCACTTCCTCCTCCAGGGTCAAGTTCCTCTCCAGACTGCATTCTACCATATCCATAGTCACGGGCAACTTCTTGGGTATCTCTGTGCATCTCCGGATCAGCACAGGATTGCATCCATTCAGGAACTGGTAGCCAAACATAAAATCTTCCTTCCAGTGCTGCATCACATATTCTAAAGGAAAAACAAACCTGCAGCATCAATATCTGCACTGCATCAACATCCTACTGCAGTGTAGGATTCGTCCTTTCCTACCCACCTTTTGTTATACTGCATGGCAACTTTGACTAAAGAAAGTAGCAGGAAAATGATTCAAAGGTGCCACAAAATTTTAAGAAAAATCAATTAAGTTAAATGGACAATGTAATCTTTGATTTTCACTTTGAGAATAATTAAATTGATAATAATTTGTTTCTTCATGTGCAGAAGCAATGAGGAGTAAAATATTCCACTCCTATGAAAAATACTCTTTCAATCTGCAGACCAGCTTCTCAGGTCTTTCATGACATTTTTAAATCTCACTCTTCACATTCTCAGGGTTTGCAGTACACATAAATGAGTCAAAAAAGTTAGCACAGGCAGGAGAAGGGAAATACAGAGCAACATGGGTAGGGAAAGAACAGCAGTGGTTGGAGTGGTTCTCTTAGTAGCTTTAGTAGCTCGAGCTGGGTGAGGTATACCTTGGGGAAGGGTTCTGACTTCAACTTTGACTCAGTAAAACTTCACATTCATTGCTTTGCTTGTTTAACTTATTTTTTCTCTGTTTATTTTTCAATTGCTAGTATAAATGCAGATTAAAATCTCTTCTTAATAAAATGCTAGTTTTGGGTACTTCATCTCTTTACTATTACATACATAGTACTACTGGATGCTTTCCACAATTGCAATGTTCTGTTTCATTATGTCATGTTGCCACTTCAACCTACAAGTTCAGTCAGAAAAAACATGATTAATGTGAAAAATCCCACTGATCTCTTCAGGGCAAAAATGAAGCAGGTAATGTTTTTTACTATTGCCTATTTTCAGACAAGGTAGAACTTTTTCAGACAGCAATTTACTTTTCTACAAAGGGTTAAAGGATGAAAAAGACAGGCCTGAAGGAATGCAATGATAATTAAAAAAAAAAAAAAAAAAAAAAAAGAGTCTTAAAACTCACAATGCTTTCTAACAGAGTAGAAAAAAGTTAAGTTTACTTAAAGTTGACATTTACATCATCTCTGTCAATTGCATAATGAGTCTGGAACTGTATCGGAAGTCTACACCAAGGAAAAAATTACTCATCATCTGGGACAGAAACTTCATGACTGAAAAATGCCTTGAACCATCTTCTCCATTAGTCCTGTTTCTGCCAAATAAGCAGGTTCAGAGCTGTATTAACATAACTGAGACCAATACTTAACATTTAAGACTCACAAAACTGGAGCTTTCCTCATGAGCATGGAAATGTTATCACTGAAATTAATTGTAGATCATATCTAACTCTTGTGTTGAAAGTACTTTAGGAAGCAATCTTATTAAATGTAACAAATTGCTGTAATTAGTTTTTAACAGCCACCTTGTATGCTTTATTTTATACCCGAGACCACAGAAATTCCTCTTCTGTTAACTGGTCCTTAGGCAGCCTAAAGAGAAGCAAAACTTCAGAGCAGAAGGGAAAAGAATTTTACTTTGCAGAATCTGAACAGGTTATTCACATACATTTGAGGACCCCCACACTAGCAAATTTATAGTATTCATGTAGCTATTATATCCAATAATACAGTAAAATAAAGTAAAATAATGTAACCACGTGTGGTAGTAAAAAGGTGGGTCTGAATCACAAACCAGAGGCTTCCCAGCCCTGCTTTACAGAAATGACACCATGAACTTCAAAATCCATGTCTGTCTGCAATTCTTTTTACTGGGTTTTCAAGTAACTGCTACAATTACCATACTGAAAAGGGTTAAAGTATTTTGTCTTTGATCTGGTAATACTACATCAATGGAGTTTTTAACAGTATGAAAGATACTGCAGAAACTGAATGGCCCTGAATACAAAAGTGAAACTCACACACTTAGAGAGGGATTTTTGTCTTCTAATAAAATGTGAGTATGAAATGGCAAGCACAGCAGGACATTTAATGCAGTGTGCACAACTAATTCTGACAAATTTTTGGAAAGAGATGGCATTTTGGATAAATGCCACAAGACTTTTCAGGCCTACCTCACACTAATTTCCAGTAAGAACCACAGTTCCTTGGGTTGTGGTCTGACAGCACATCGTAGTTGCATCAGGACCAGGTGAAGAAGTTACAGCTCCCAGGTCATTCCCAGCTCTTTGCAACCCATCCCCGAATCTGTTGGCCTAGCAGCACGGACTTTCATGCCTGAAACAAGTTCTGTCAAAACGATCCCTGTTGGGAAAGACTTACCACCAAAAAGTATCTGAGCTGCCCCATGTCTTTGACACAAATAGCCCATGAGAATTGACTGAGGGGAGCTACAGGTGAGGTTATGACAGCAGAACTGAGGCAGTGGTCCCCTCCCTGTGTTGGGACAGGGTCAAGAAGGTGTGACTGTTAGCAGCAGTGCAACCAGGACTGAGCACATGGCTGGGATGTTAGGCAACAGCCTTTGATCTAGGCTGTGTAAGAGGCAAAAGGGGTCACCTTCATACTTGCCTTTAGCAGAGAACATTTCCAGATGTGGCTCTTTGTAGGTTTTCCATGTATTTAGATGGCAGAAGTGGGACATACATGAACAAACTTTCAAAAATGCCGTAACAGCTAATAGGCGCTGCAAAGCACTCCCACTAAACTATCTCTAGGTTTAGATGCGAAATACTTATGAAAATTTGTCCTATGGGATTTGCACATATCTGAAAATACATTTATAAAAGCCAAAAGGGGCTATAATGCCCAACTGGACTGGCCTCCAGTATATCTCAGGACAGAGGAGGTCACTGAGCAATTTTCAGTAATTTTAGTTTGTATTTAGTAATTTTGTAATTTAGTTTTTTCTTTTTGGTCTTGTAGGCTGCTGGTGTGATCAGTAGTCTGAGATTACAGTTTATTTATGAAAAACCATGAGAGAGTGGAAGTGCGGGTCAGCCACTCCCATCCTAATCACGTATGTACAAAGCAACTAATTAGTCATTCTACAATGCAAACATGAGCAAATGCTTATAAACCCACCTGAAATTGTGTTGCTGATTCTGACAAAGATCCTCTCAAAATCTGCAAAATCACTCCAGGAGGACTGGAACATGTGCATGAAACGGTTGACATAAAGGTTCTCCATCCTAAATGAAACAGAACAACTCTGAAAAAAATGATCTCCAGCTTCCACCATACCCTTCCCCATTCTTTTCCACCCTTTAATATACCTACACACAATACATTTTTCAGTGGCGGAAAGTGATATTGGTCACCCAACAGAATTAAATTTGATGGCTGTACCTTTACACGCAAGCCTGAAAGGCATATCAAGGGTCCAGTCTCTGCTAATGCATCTACTGAACTCCATTCTAGAGATATTATTGCCAGCCTACAATGGCAGTGATTTAATACCTATGTCATATAAAAACTATAGTCAGAAAAACTAGTGCTTCACACATCATCAGTAGTTAACATCATCTGAGAGTGCCAAAATCATTATTAGTACCAGTTCAGAAAGCGGTATGGTGACACAGACACTGGCTGATTTGCACAAAGTCAGAACAAACACAACCCAGGATCAGTCCAGCCAGTATTCCTGAACAGAGAACAGCTCCTGTAAGTAGCTACATGACCAAGGCCAGACTGGATCCTTACAGCATGAAGCCTGAGTTTTTGAGAGCTTTCTATTTACTTGAACTGCTAATTAAACTTGATGCTCATCTCTAACCTCAGGAACCAACCACTGTCACCAAGTTGGAGACAGCACATGAATATGGGGGGCTGGGAGCCAAAAACATCTGACTTGAAGTATTAATTCAACAAAGTACTCTGTCTACAACACAGTCAAGCAATTTCACCTTTTATAAGATGACATAAAAATTGTTACATAAATGCTCAACTGTTGTTACTAACTTGAAATAATTTATTTTGACTAGAAAGCAAATAATGAAATTGAAAAAGAAAGTTGGTTTTCCACTAACACTTCAAATGCACAAAGAATAGCACACAAATGGTACAAAGACAAGCATAGCAGATAATGAAGAAAGGTCACAGTGTTACAGGAAATATTCTCAGACAGAATCTGAGGGAGGAAGAATCCCAGGATTTATAATCAGTAAATTTAGACTGAGGCACCTTAAACAGAACTGGATTAGAAGTGGTGAAAAGGACCATAAGCCTGGAAAAACAGCAAGTGGTAATCTGGAGGAGGGCCATAGACCAGCATGACTGTAACCCAGATAAAGGAGATGCTTCTGCACTGAACCCAGACATGATTCACATAGAATGGACTGTTTCGGTTGCTGCTGATGGCAGTAAAGGTTAAAGAGGTGCCTGGAGGCATGTTAGGAAGTAAAACTCAGGCGATTGTCTAGACTGGAACAGGAGATGACCTCTCCAGAGGTCTCTTCACACCTGACAGGGACACAGAATGATTGTACAAGGATCAAAGAGAGAGTAACTACTGGGCAGGACTTTCTGGATAGATACTAGGTGTCTGAATCACAGATGATCTTCAAGAGAAAGCATAACCATGACCAGAAGTTTAAATGATTTTAAACTCAGTAGCTTGAGAGGGAGTTACTTGAGACTGTCTCATTTGATAGTTTCCACTAAAGGTCCTGTAGAGCCTCTGCCCTCCTTCAGAACTGCTCTGAGATTAGGAAACACTAGACACATGAACCAGTATGTACTGTACCTCTCCTCCTCAGGGTGTCCTTCCTACTTGGGACTATTAGTCTGATGAAACCAAGCAATAGCCACAGCACCTGGGATCTAGTCACAAACCTGCTGTGGTTTGACCCATTGAATGCCAGGCATACATTAATTATCAGATGTTTCAAAGATTATTTCCTAAAGGAAGCCGTCTTTCACATTTCCTATCTTGGAAAAAACTTCCAAAGGACTTAAGAAATAAAAACATGTTTCTCCCAAGAAATCAAGTACTTCTCAGACGTCTCTGGTGCATACTAGAAATCAGCACAAGGAAAAAATGGCAGAGTTACTTGTAGAACTTAATTTGCCCAAATGCAACACTAGTCCAAAATAGCTATGCAAGCCTGTGCTTCTGGCACAGAATCCAGGGTGAGGGTTTCTGTTTGTTAGATAGTGTAGGTCACATCAGTTAACAGGATTATCCCTACCTACACACAATTAATCCTATAAATTTACAGAATTATCCACTGTCAACAGCATCTAAAGATCAAACCTTGCAACAGCAGGAATCTCTCAGACATATCTCCTTCTTTTTAAGTTCAGTTTTGCATGTCCCAAACAAAAGGGCTTTCCCCTCCCCTCTTCCACTATTCCCTAAGTCTCATATACCTCACAGATATCACATTTTTCCTTAAATGTGCTCCCTGCCCGATGCTACATCTTGCAACTCTACACCTGCCCTTGGATTTCCAAACACACCTCCCTGTCTTCCTTCCTACTGATCTCAAATTGAAGGAAGATCCCATGCCTTCCTCCCTGTATCTCCACTCCATCCACGAAGATAGCTGTCCCAAGCTCCCAAAACACAACAGAGTAGGTAGATAATGGCTATCAAACTCATTCTCTAAAGATTTCCACAGTTCACCCAAGCAAAAGTGCATGTCTAGATTTTCAGTCAAATGTGCCAGGCAAGAAGCATTCCTGTTCCTTGGAAAAATCTCTTACATCATCCCAGTTCTCCAGAATAGCTGGCTATCCACAGCCATTTTCAGTTTCAGGTTCCTACTTCACGGGGAGGTGCCCTTACAGACAGTGGCAAAACCAGATGTCCCTGCACTCTGCTGAATTGTTTGCAAGTTTTGCTTGGCTGCAACTCAGGATCCCAGCCAATATGCTACAGACTGGCTGGATGGGATTGCTAGAGGGGGAATGTAGCCTTCAAACTGGTTATGTCTATTAATGGAAAACTGGTCACCTCTGGCTTTCAGATGACATTGCTCCTGCATCACTCAGATCTCAAATGAGCTGTGAGACAGCTGTTTTGCACTGGCTAATACCATGCTAGAAGCAACAGCTCTTGGAAAACACAGGATTTGTAAAAAGTTTGGAATACCACTGCACTGCTAAGGTAACAAGAGCAGATCCCAATGACCTTGCATGGACTTTGTATATTTTCACACCTCTCCTCTTTCCTTAAAGGTGTTACTCCTTGTCTTTTCTGAGCTAGACTATTTCCTGAAGCTGGGCCAAGAGAAGAGCTGCAGTGTTTGCATTCTTCCCTTGCTTGGAACCTCTTCTTGGTTTTGCCACCTCTTCTTCGTTATGCCACAGGTTTATTCACAAGTGCTCAACACAATACCTATGATGGGTTTTTCCCTTTTTCAGGATGGCCTCAACCGTGGCTCTGTTTCATGGTTAACAGGCTCTGCTGCTGTCCCACCTGATTGAATCTCAGAGCACTTCACAGATATGCATGGGGTCTCCTCCCAGAACTTTCTGGGAAATAAAGAAAGTGAAATTATCAAATCTGATAAATTCAAATAGATAATTTAACTTATCAGTTTGCACACAGAGGGAACATAAACTAAGAATTGGAGACTGGCTGTGGTAATCTGGCCTGGACTTTATTAAAGTCCTGAGATCAAGAATAATCTCTTCTGGCCTTCTAAAAAAATTTACTTGCCTTTTAAACAACACTACATAAACTTCCACTGTTTTTCTGGCTTATTTTTCTTGTTTTGTTTTGTTTTGTTTTTAAATATTTATTTTCTCAAAGAACTATTTCTAAATGACATTACCAAATTAATTACAGGCCGACTAAAAGGCCCCTCCAGGGCTGTGTTCTAATACATGTCTGTGGAAGAGGAACATCAGAGTCTGGGGTTTTCCGAGGATCTATAGTCAAGACCCCAGATTCTTTAAAGCTCTTCAAGCTTTAAGAATCCAGTGAATACTAAAGGGCTACTTGAATAATAAGGTATTTCATGAGGTAAGAAGGGACGTCAACTTCTGGCTCATGTTAAAGATGAGAGAATTGGTTCTTCAGAAGTCTAAATATAGATATAAAGTTGAGGCAATATATGTACCATTGGGTAATCTTGGGGGGCAGGAAGCATCTGTCTGTCTCTTGTACCATTAGTCTAATTCCTTGTGTGACTCCATAGCCACTTCTCTGGTATAACAGCTAGTACTGCATTAAAAAGTTACAAAAGCACACATTCTACAGCCTGTTCCATCACTCTCCTAATATCCTAGTTTGCATGAGATAGAAAGCTAGAGACCCCTGGTCTTCAAAGCTATTTATCTGCCTAATTCCAATTAGCTGTGAAAAATCTAGGTGCACCTAGCCATATGTGCTGCAGAAACACACTCATCACCCTGTTCATACCTGCTGGAGATTTATTTTGGAAAAACAAAACAAAACAAAACAAACAAAAAAACCCAAAATATTTTTAATGTTACAAAGCATCATTCCAGTGTGAAAAACAGATCCTAGTGTGGGAGAGAGAGGAAGGAGGGAGAAATCTACAGCAGAGCTAATACAGCCAGAAAAAAACATGTGTTTTTGAAGGTTCCATTTTTCCAAATTAGAAAACAAGCAGGTAGATTCTCTTGGAACAAGCCATAGGATTTGACTCTGTGTTAGTAGTGAAATTCAGCTGCATAAATGTAACACCAAGAATGATCTGACATGTAAGGTTTCAGTCACCATCAGTTCCCCAAGATGGACTCAGATAAGCAAGTATTCACTTTTATTAGAAGCTGCAAGTTTCTCAGTATGGCTATTAAACCCTCTAGTTCTTACCAACCTGTGCTTGATGACATAATCTCCATCTGATCACACAAATAACAGGAAGAGCACTTTTTCAAAATATTAAGAGACCAGGATATTAACAGAATCACGGATGTAGAAATTGTGGGTGATCTTGGACCAGTCTTGTCACATCTCAGACTATGCCACCATTCGATAGTATGTTGAGATGTGTGAGACAGTATGATGTGACTTGGACACGTGAGACAGCTCAGAAGGGGGGCTCACAGGCCAGAGAGGTCCTATTTGCCTGTACTATTTCAAAGAGGTCTGCAGGATTATTCAGGCTCATCCAGTGGCCAGGACTCCGTTTTTTTCAATGACATGACATGTGCCAATCGGAGGACAGTGATTTTGTTGCCCCAAGCAGATGACACCTAGACATGGTTAACCGATGAGCTGCTCAGAACAGCATTTCTTCAGCAGGGTCTCAAGGGTGCATTGATACCATCTTCTTTTGAAATGTGACTGAAAGGCCTAATGATCGTAGTTAGTAAAGAGAATTATCTCTAGGGGGCGACTCTGAGAAGGAAGTCAAAAGTCCAAGGTATCAGGTCCCAATAGTCCTTCTTCCTATGCTATTCACCAGTGCCTCCTCCATCCATCTACAGCTAAAACAGTGCTTAATGACAATGCAGAGGCTCAGTCAGTCCCTGGCATGAAAACCTTAAAATACCAATATTACAAGAAAAAAAAAATCCCTTCAATTCTTTACTATTTTGATTCACTGCAGGTCCAGCTGGGAGAAAAGAATCCAATTTTAAGATTTCAATGAAATCTAGAAGGTGATTAGATCCTTACCCTGCCCCCAAAGAGATTTTGCAAAACTCTCAAAGTTCCACAAGCACTTACGCTTTAGAGTAGTTCAGAATGAAGTCAATTCCTTTCTCATTGTCAAACTGGATGTCACGAGGCAGATCACTGTGTGAATGGGCATCGATGCTCAGTGGGAAGCCCGGATGCCACTCCTTCCAGCTGAGAGAACAAGACAGGTTGGATTAATCATATAACCTTACCATCATGAGACCTGTGTCATTCCTTTACCTATACTGCTTCTGTGACTCAACTATAAATTAAATTTGCAGCAGACTCATTTGGGCCAAAAATAATGACTTATACCACATCAATACCTACTAGTACCCTACAGAATTCTGAAGTACAATGGAAGGCATCTACTTGGCCACTTACCTTCACAAAACTTGAACTAAGTTAGTATTTGTGATATTTCCAAATACTCGTCACATTTGGTTGAAACTGGCAGTAGCTTCAAATGTATTGGGAGGGGAAGGGATGGAGAGATAGATAGCTGCCCAATGCACACTCATTGTTGGGGCTACATTTTTGCAGAACTGAGATACAGCAGCTAAAAGTACTCAGACATGTGTTTAGGTTCCTCCAAAAAGCAACTCTCAGAGATGCAGATAATCTTGATTCAGCTCATCAGAAGAGCCTTACCTCCTAATGGTCATGGCACACATTCTCTGCCATGTATGTTCTTGCACTGTGCCCCACTTTTACTTCAAAACAAAAGAAGACAATTTGTAAAGAATATTGTTTCAATGGTATTTCCAAATTGCCTGCCAGACACAGACTGCATTGTGTATTATCAGTTATGCTTCTGAATTGTAAATAGCTATTTCCCTGGAATTACAAATGGTTTTGCCTTCCTTTTTGCATACGTAAATAAAATTTTGTGCCACACCTCTTTTTGTACTACTTTTTCCTCTACTCTATCTCCCATAATCTGTCAAATGATATCAACAACACATACACCAAGCTTCAATCCATCACTCCTGAATGGACCCTCTGTCCTTCTGATCCTTACTCTCATGATAAGGAGATGCAAGTGCAAAAAACTTTTGTTATTTTAATAGAGAGTATGTCTCTAAGAAAAGGAAATGTCTAATGCCTTCTGGAGTTACCCATTGATAAAAAATAGCATTTTGCCATTGTGACTTTGATGAGGAAAAAATTGTCTATGACAGTACAAAGGTGGGTATCATAACTTTGTTCTGATAGCACATTCCAGTCCACTCAAGCAGGTCCAGATCTTTCACTGCACCCCAGTGCAGGAAACAACTAAAACTAGATTGCTGTGGCAGCCAAAAAGCTCCAGCAAGAGCTGACATGTTCACATCATGTTCCAAAACTGAAGCATTGTTTGCAAAAGGCAAATGAAATCTGCCTTCAAATCTTCCTTGAAAGCACAACTGTGTGCCAAAAAGCCCACACAGAAACCGTACCACTGAATTCCCACTGAAGCCTTCCAGATAGGCTTATCTGGGATTCAAATATCTCATAATGCCACTTGCACCAGGATGATCATCCCTTACAGTGAGTTCCATCTAAATTAAAAACATATATGGCCAACATGGTAACTTATGCTTTCTCCTATCTAGCAGTCCAGTAACTAAAGCAATATGATAACCTAAATATAATCTGCAAAACTCTGACCTGGACCTTATGGGGAGCTATGGGAAACTCACCGATACATTTTTTGACGGGTCTCGAGCTCTTTGCGTCTGTGCTGCTTGAGAATCTGGGTCTTGTCATCCCGGGGGAGCTTTGCTGTGAAACAGAGGAGACAAGGTTATGAGAGTCCTCTACCTATCATTGCCCAGATCTTGAGGAGAAAAAAGTTTGAAACCTTCAAACTTCTGATCTACCCCTTTATAATGTTTCTGTGGGAAACGCTTACATGATCCAATTTAGTACGTTGAGCAGAAACACAGGTCCTAGAGAATCTGTGGAAGGAAATAATCTCCTAAATTTGTGCCACCAAGGGCCAATTAGCTCAAGCTAGGAACATTTGTCTCGACTGTATATAAAACCTGGGTTACTCGTGTAGACACTTGCTGTACGTATCTAGTGTTAAATAGTCTGAATAGGGTCATGAGAATTCATTTTACATTTCAGTATCTAAGGGAATTTTCAACAGTAAGAGAAGTCACAACATTGTTCCAGCTAATCTCCTCTGCTAAAAGACATCTCCAGGAAACATCTCCTACCCTCTCTCCTTGAACTGTGCTCTCCCCTGTCAGCACAGGGCAATAATTGTATCTTCTTGTCATTAGAAGAGAAAGAAAAACCAGTGAGGCTTCATTTCGAGACAGTCTGCTCTTATGACCATTAAATAACACAGAGACTTCCTTAGTGATCAGAAAAAGGGCAAGGTACGTGACTCACTTTACATACACAGATGAGAAGGAAGATAAAGCCAGGAGGAGTTTCATGGAAATAGCTGTTCGAGGTTTGGAGTCAGAAATATCAGAAGTAATACAACTGATAACATACATGGCTAACAGTTTCCAGCCGGTTGTGTTCAAGTTACCAACAGGGTTTAACCTGCTTTTGTCCTTTACCTCACCATACTCTGAAAGCCACGCAAAGCAGCTTTCCATGGAAGTGTTACAGTTGTTATAAATCAAATTATGAAAAACGGAAAGTCCCTCTGGAGACGAAAAATAAATGGACACGGAGTTGTGATTATATAACAAAAGGCTTCAAATGCAAAATTCCTCAGCTAGGAATAGCCAAAAACTTAACGGGAAGACAAACATTTATTTCCTATCACCTCATATATTGTTTCAGCTGTTTTCAGGCACTCATGCTGCAGACCACTACAGAAGCCAATCTACCCGACGAAGCACAGAGGGGGACAAGCAAACATCAGTGACAAACGTATGCCTTAACCCTGATCACCGCATGTAGGTAGTCAGAGACAGTTAAAACACAAGTTTCAGGTCCAACAGGCCACTCTGAACAGAGCACAGAAGTGTCACCACTATTTGCAGCAGTCATATCCATTTCACCCTGCCTTCTCCTGGAGTTGATAGCATGCAAAGAGAAGGGTGAAAAGTGAAGCTCCTGTTTCAAGTCAGTCCTTGCACCTGCTGAGCAGCCTACTTTGGGATTTTACTTCACTTTCAAGAAAACAAGAGAATTTACAGGCAATTAATCATGGGCCACTTAGGGGCTTAGTGTGAAACAAAGATGGGACACTAATTCTAATTAGATCAAAAGAACTTCAGCAGTGGAGGTGGAGTAGACAAAAATTTTACATTAGGGTCAGCCTTCGAATTCAAGACCAGTGTAAAAAGCCAGCCTATGGACTCTTCCTTGCATGTGCTTCCCAAAATATCCAACTCAGCTGCCAGTGCCGAGCCCAAAGTGCTCATAAAGCAGTCCTAGTCAGCAGGGAAAGCCCACTCCCTAGGATGCAGAAGGGGATTAGCAGTGAGTCTCCATGGGAGAGAGAAGATTGGGAGGTATATGGGGAAAGGGGAAGGAGAGGTGGAAGAATTCTGGATGTTCTGAAGGAAATAAGGTTTATTACGGCTCTCACCTCTTCCATCTCGAAGGACAATCTCTTTTTCATCTGTAATCCAACGGTAACATGGGAACTCCAAATAGTCACCCACTGGTGTTTTTACAGTGATATACTTAAGGTACCAGTCATCCTGGTACCAATATTTTCGTTTCTCAATTTTTATTAGCTGAATTTCTCCAAGGTCTTCTTCCACAGTCACATCGTAGGAGTCAACCTACAGAGCAAAATACAGTCAGCAATCCACTGTACATGCAGGAAGCACAATCAGCACTACACAAGCATACCTGGCTTTTCCTGATATGGCATGGGTACAACAGAACTTTCCAGATTCTGGCGGGTGATAAAAAGATGACCTATTATTGGACTGTAACGCAACAGAAAGATTAATAAAAGAACAAACAGGAACATGCAAAACACTCCAGAAATAGAGGAACACTTTTGTATGCAACCTAAAAACGTTATTGCTCCTTGAAATGTTTGCAAGTCTGAGGAAAACGAGCAGACCATGAAACTATTTACTGTTCTCCTAGCAATAGCTGGAAGACATACTGCTAGGGCATATCTATTAATGCAACTGGAGTGGAAAGATGATCATGAGATTAACACATTGAACTAGATATCTAAAGACCCATGTGTATTAGTCATATGTGCTTCAGACTAAGGACAGTATCCAGATCACCTAAGTCCCCTTTGTCTTGTGCTTCCTGTGGCTGGTCTTCTTCAGTTCTCCATTTTTAAAATTACAATGGTACATTTTATGTTTGTACAGCTCAGATGTACAAAGGAATTGAAATAGCTAGCTCTGGAAGCACTTCATTCTTTCACAGAAAACAAGCCAGCATGTGGAAATGCGGTTTAGCTCCTTCCACAGTTTGGAATTAACTCAAAGGCCTGACTCCTGCAACATGGAGGGACCTCAGCCCAGACTTGCACAGTAGCTAGTCTGTTTGGTCCTTTCCTATGCTAAGGGTCTGGTCACACAGTCTTTGCAGTGATCTAGTACTGAAGGCTAGGATCACCCATACCTGTTCCTTCAGGAGTGCCCTCATCAGTGGCCTACAGAGACAGGCCCCTGAAACCTTGAGTTATTTGCCATGCAATGATCCAGGTGAGAAGATCAGTCCTGGTGCTGCCCCTACACCAAGCTTTCCTAAGGTGTGAGGGTTGCTGCTCTAAACCTGGTCAGACTGAGGAAGGGACTGAATATCATGCCTTCCCTTTCCTAACGACTGTTCCAGCAGGGCTACAAAAGAAGTAGCAGTGGAGATTTTCTTCTCCTTCCATTTTAATTACAATGGCTTTGACTACCAAGCTCAGCATTTCTTCCATGTGGTAGACCTGTTTTCAGTCCTCATATATGATTTGGCCTATCAGGGCTACACCATCAGGTGGCTTGAAATAGATGTGGAGCTACTTGGCCCACCATGGTAGGTGTATCTGTGAGCACATGTAATAGCAAACCTTAACTGCTAAGTGCTCTAGCTACTGGGGTGTGATGAATGGTTGCACTGAAGGCCACAGAGAACTAGTCATCTAGACACAACAAGATGACTTTGGCCAGCAAGGTCAGGCACCAGTTCACTATGTAAATCACCTCTCCCACAACAGTGCTTTCAGTGCCACATCTACATGGCCAGGCCTGGGAGAAGGACAGTTGTGGACACGGTGCCCCCCTCAGCACTTTTTGCCCATGATAAACATCCCCCACTTAGCAAAACACTTGTTATGAATGATGACTTATGTGCCTTGCTAAGTTGCCTAACAGTATTAGGACAGTGAACACTTATCCCAGAGATGAGTATACTTCAGTCTCATCATGGGGCTAACTTTCCAGGGATGCGTGCAGTCTCTGACTGCATGTGAGGACAGGACCCAGCAAATGACAGTTCTGGTGGCACCTGCACTATTAGGCAACACCAGCATAGTAAGAAATGAGTAATTGTTTCAAATATGACCAGTAAGACACCATGTGGTGCTAGGCAATTCAGGGAAACAGGAATTGACTCTCACTTTCCAAGAAGTAAACAGCTCAAGGCAAATGAAAGTAGCCAAGTGTTCATTGTAACAAAGCTGAATTGGCTATGGCGACCATGTGAGCTCTGATGATCCTGCTAAGCTCCACGTTGTTACAAGTAGAGACTTTGTTCTCTTGTGGTTTTTCCTCAACACAGTCAACAATCTTAGAAGTCAACCAGCTCCTGATACCAAAAGGATGAGGTACTGCACCAACATGCTGCAGTATCTATAGAGACTCACTTGCTTGTGTGACCTTTGTCTATTGGCTCCTGACCTAGACACCACACTCTGCTTGTTCTTTTCAGCAGCACTTTCTTATCTTTCCCCAGGGATTTGATATATGTCCACTGTTACTGTCTTACTTGCTAGGGAAAGGCTAATTCACTTATGGACCAAAACTGAAAAGTGAAGAAGGACTAATTTCCAGATAGGAGGGAAAAAAAAAAAAAAAAAAAAAAAAAAAAAAGTAGTAATTTTTAAATGCTTCCAGATGGCTCTTATTATTTAAACTGTTACAAAAGAAAGCTTCGCATCCCTTCCTCTCCCATTTTAACCCAAGTTTCCCACATTATTGATGCAAAGTATCCTTTTCTGTGAGCTATCCATGAATTACCAGCTGTGATGATCATTTTGGAATGAAGACATCTATCTGTCCACCAAAGTTTAGGATGACAGAACTCATTTCTCTAATAACCTATTACATAAAAATACCAGCTTTCATGAAGTTTGTCACATCTGATTCACTCATAGAAGCCAGAGAAAAATAAAAAATCCTTTAGGCTTTGAAGTCCATCCTTCAGACAATGAAACACTGTCCTTGCCTGTCTTTTCCCAAAGATGTTCTTCAATCAATGTTGAAACTGTCAGGCCATGATTACTACACTGCAACTCATGAGGTTGCTTCATACTAACAAGGATACTGGAATTACTTCTGGTATGCAGCCTAATTTAATTTTAGGCTCAAATATTTAAAATGGGCATGGACGGGGCTTATTTTGATTTGCTGAGACTTCACAGACTAATCTTAGTCTAAGCTATATTCTCCCCCTGCCTATTAAAGCAAGACATTGAACTGTTTCTTTTAAAAAGGAAGTCCATCATGTCTTAAATAAAAACGTGCAATGTTTGTGTCAATAACACACCCATAGACACCAGGTTGTAACTGCTTCACAAATAGCATGGCAGTCCTAGGCAAGCTTGGGATGACAGCATTTGTCTGCTAGGATGTGAGCTGAGAGACGAAAATCAGAGAGCTGAGATTTCAACCAACATATTAAAATCATGCTTTTCACTTCTCCTTGCATCTCCGTAGCAGAGAATAAATAGTCCTTTCTATAGATCCAAAAAATATATTAATTTTAAACATTTTTCAAACATTTTTGTTGCTGACTCTTCAACCTCTCCACCCCCACACACAATCTCAGAGTAGCTAAAAGGGTCATGTGTAAAGGTAAATTAATTCATTTGGTGATTCATGATTTTGAACCAGCTATGGAGACTGAAAAATGTTGAGAAGCTCTTCTCAGAAATCACATAAATAGTGCCTTGAGCCATAGTTACGACAATCAGTGACTGTAGGACATACCCCTGTGCTCCTGGCTAAGTGAATGAAGATTCCTCCCTCCCACAATGCTGGTTTCAAACACCACCCTGATGTCTGCCTATCACCCCACATCCAATATTCTTGGCTTCACTCAGCAGAAAGAATTCTGGATGATGGCTAGAAAATGTAGATGACATGCCTGGATCGTTTCTCATTTCTCAAATCTTCTTTCCAGAAATAGGCAGCACTTGAACCACTTCTATTTCATATTAATGTCCCAGCAACTCCTGTTTTTCTCAATAAAACCAGTGTCAATAAACTTTTTATCAGACTTGGGTTTCATACTGAGTCATTACTTCTGCAATTTCATATGTCTTTCCAGGACCAGATGGCACTTTGCAGAAGACTCCCTCACCACAGGCTATCATACCATGTATCTCAAACTCAGCCACTTCCTGCTTGTGCATCTCTTTAAGCAATTACAACACAAAATGAATTCTCTCTTTCAATTTTACCATGATCTTGTTGCATTTGGCAGTCAGGAGCTGGAAGTAGCCACCTTGCAGAGACACAGTCCAAACAAATCCACAAATCTATGTGAATTATTACTGATTTGTGTTCATCACAATAAAGGGAATTTAAACATGTAAAGACTAATACAATAACCTACAGAAGCAATTGATAAACTGCATCTGGATCAGATTCACTCTGTATTCAGCTACTTGGGACTTTTAAGCTCCATCTTCTCACTTGTTTCCAGCTCCAGGGCTAGCCATGTACAGAGGAAAAATTAGGTGATCACAGAGATGGTCTGGATAGGGGAAACGTACTGTATTATTTTTAGCTCAAGTCCCCATGAAAACTCATTGCTGTCAAGTGATCAGTGTAGCACAGAAAGTCTGAAATTAGACTTATTTTCTCATGAACTCCTTGTTGCCCAAAATACCTGACTGTTTTTTTAAATTAATCTCCTTTAAAGGTTCAGCTAACAATTTCATTTTTAAAAAATTGTCATTTACACATATATATTTATATAGTTCTTATAATGTCACACATATATATTTATATATTTCTTATAATGTCACACCTATATATATATATACACACATCTAAGATTTAAACTAAAGAACAATGTGAATCAGATCCAAAAAGCTGATAGAAATGTCACATTGACAGCCAATCTTTGGAAGAAACTCATTCCTCTGGCAACAATCTCTTTGCTAATATTACAAGAGCCCTAAAATAGCTGCACAGACACTGTTGATGTAATGCAAAGAGTACATTCAATTAGCTTAATTTTTCCTAAAGGTTTTTAATCTTTTTATGACCATCACAGCTCCCATTTTAATGACATTTCTGAAAGTAAGGGTTCCCTCTTAATGTCTCACCCAGCTCTCGCTGCCTCCAAGTCAGCGACACCATGGGATCAGCCGAGATGACAATTTTGCTAATGCAGTAAAGGTGTGTCATGTTACAAAGATGGTACAAGGTCCATGTAAGAGTTGAGAGTTGGTTGCTCAAAGTTTCTATGGCATATGTTGTACAAAGTCTCCTGGTAAATACATGGCATCACTGATGACTATACAGTGAGCCAAAAATGCTAGGAGTTTGAGTTCAGGGTGAGAGAGCAGAATTAATGACTACTGAACTGTTCATACTCCTGTAGCATCTTGTTCAAGCAATTGAATCTCGCACAAAACCTAAGCTCTTTCTATTTAAGGAGAGACTCCTACTGACTAGCCTAATATTGCAAAAAGGATGACAGAGACAACCCCTCTTTCTATAAGCATGAAGCTCTAAGTGGAGAGAATTGTATCTCCCTTATGGAAATACGTGGCAGTGCGTTTCCTTCAACAAAAGCAAAAAGTAGATGAGGGGGTAACAGGAAGAAAACAGAGAACTGAGTGACACCACAACACTTGCTTGGAAATCACTCAGCACCAACAGGAACTTACTCAAAAGACACTGTGTATAGAAAAGCAGCTATGGCTTTCTATATCACCTGTGTCCAGTACTTGAAGAAAGTCAGACAAAAACTGAGCTCTCATTGTGCAAATCCCTTCAGATTTGTCCACATCCCTTTCCCTCAATAAACATTTGGCATGTAAATCTCCTACTCAGAACTGGCCCAAGCCCTCATTCATCATACCTAGTAATACACACAATTTGCAATAATTCAAATGAAGACATTACCAGGATAATGGAACTACTGAGCCTGTAACAATATTTAGAAAAGAAACTGGAAAGTAGACAAAGCCTTACAAGATAATACTGTAAAACTCTGGTCATCCACTGAAAAAATGCATTTTTTTTGCAAGTATGTTCACAATATAATTGCTTTGCAGAAAAATAAAATTATAGAGATGCTGTTAAAATAAACGCTAATGTCAGAACTGTGAAACGAGTTGCTACATTTTACAAACCAATCAACCTGAAAGTCTTTTGGCTGGCCTGATTCAGTTTTATATTTTTTTTTTTGCTCCATACTGGTATTTTTCTTTTCTTTCCTTCTTTCTTTGCATACTGAATTAGTATGATTCACAGTGTTTTGAGCACAATGTTACCTGAACGGGTGCTTGGAGAAACACACTGCATTCCCCAAGAAAACAACCTCAACAATTAAACTAGTATATTGTACTGCAAGTGTCCGATGAGCCAGACACTTTATGGAACACAGAGTTATTCTCATTCTCTAAAATAAATACATGCTGAAAAAATAATTGCATATTTGTAGTGTCAAACACATAACAATTAACAGAAATAATTAATTTGGATAGGAGAAATAAATCTGGATTTAGTCAAAAACCTTTGCGCTTGGAAACATTTGACAAAAAAAAAAAAAAAAAAAAAAGAGATAGTCCCAATCTCAGAAAGCCTACTTAGCTAAAGATGTATTTTATATAAAATGCTAGGACTCAGGTGAAGAGTTTCAAATGTGCCTAAAAGCTACCTTCCTGAGGAGATGTAAGTATTCCTTTTAGGTGAGCACATTCTCTGCTGTACTGCTACTAACATCCACAAATCTCCGTTCATGGCTTCCTCACTCAGCAGGGTCCGATGCTCACAGGTACCTCTGCTCCTGCTGGACCTGGTCCCACAGCAGCTTAAGAGTTGCTGCTGAGCACACACTTACTGCTCACATCATGGAATTTTCTCCCCTTGACAGGATCCAATCCAACTGAAAGTTCAGAGTACAATCAGGATCTCCGTCACAGCCATCTCTCAAAGACAGTGAAACCCTCTTTTGTAGCCCACGGATAACAGCAAACTGCCTGGTCGCTGATGTGTGCAGGGCTCAGCCCTCCTGGGAGGGCACCCTAAATTTGCAGGACGGTCTGAGGTCTTCTTCAACCTCTCTTGCCAATGTTGTTAAGCTTCGCTTAAAACATGTGACTGTTCACTGGATAAGAAAGAATGATGGGATGTCCACTTGGGAGATTCAGATAACAAGGTTCTAGACTAATTAATGTTTAATCATGAAGGAAAGTAATTTCAACAGCAGTGGCTGTTAAGCCCCCACACCTGAATTTGCTAGAGCATCTCCTCAGAAAATCAGCTATTTACACATATCTGCCATATCTATACATGCCAACAACCCTTATTCAAAAATGCTGACTTCTGTTAACCATACCTGTGATGTCTAACGCAGAAAAGACTACATATTTAACTTAGGCTGTGAGCCTCATGCTTAAGAAATCACACCTAAAGGCAAAGCAGCAACATGACAGTGAAGTCTCACCTGCATATGCAACAGTAGGTCTAATTTCCAAAGTGATTTATAAAGATTTTGTTAGAATTTTCAAAGTTGCTTAAATCTCATCAGACCTTTTGGAAACTGAGTCAGGTTTCCAAATAAAATACACATTTTTGGAAGGGGAAAAAAATGACCTGAATCTGTTACTTACACAGTGGACAATAAACAAATAAATAAATGCCATTCTAAAACTGTGTTCAGAGTATACACAGTTAACAGATGGATAGCCTGGATCCTGTGATAAGACCAGAGAGAGGACAGGGCACAACACACAGCAGAAATCAAGGTTCGATAGAAGAGCATAGCAGATATCCCAGTCCCGACTTCATTCTTACACCTGCATGTTCACGCTGTTTTCCAACTTTCATTGAAGTTGCCCTACACATTTCTCATTGCAGGTGTAATTCCCACTGGAAGCTCTTACCTCTTTATTTAATTCCTTGGAGATACCGGGGCTCTGACTACTAGTAAACACCAACCCTAAACATCATCTATCAACAGGAAGCACATATTTTATTTATTTGTTTGTTTGTTTATCTATTTTTTAGCATTTGTAAGGAAAGTACAAAGAAATCTCGAAACCCGCTGTAATCCAGAACCAAAGGGCCCATCCTTCCCCATGACTGACCGACCACCGCCTGGACCTGCGGCTAGGGATGGGAAGGACGGGCAGCCGGGGATGGCAGCAAGCACCTCGGCCCCGGGGGCCCGCTCCGCAGCACCGGCAGGAGAGTTTCCAACAGCCCAGCCCTGCCGCAGTCCCCCGGGGCGCCGGGCCAGGGCGCGGCCGAGGTGCCGCCCGAGGCTCCCCTGGCCCCGGCCTTGCGGGTCCGGCCCCAGGCACCGCGAAGGGAGAGACGCGACGGCGCGTACGCGGTGATGCGATGCCCCCTCAAACACCCCGGGGTGGGGGCCGGGCAGCCGCGGGCGCCCCCCGCCCGGCCGGACTCACCGCGCCGCGCTCGAAGTCGTTGTAGAAGGGTTTGTCCAGGAGGTGCCTCTCGCTGCAGCCCGCCGTGCCCTCCAGGCTCAGGTAGACGTAGTCGTCGGTGCCCGCGAACCACTGGCTGCCCGTGGCCACAGTGACCGTGTAGGATGGCATGGTCCCAGCGGCGCGGCGCAGCTCGGCTCTGCACGGCCCCACCGACCCGACCCGACCCGACCGGCGGCTGCTGAGCTGCGCTCCTGCCCCCGCCCGCAGGCTGCCCAGCGCCGCCGCCTCCTCCGCCACCGCACGGCGTGGCTCGGTCCTGCCCGCCCCTTCCCCAGCGCCAGGCACACCTACCCCCGCACCCCCAGGCAGCCTGCGCTGCACGGCTACTCCGCGACACAAACTGCGCCCCTGTCCCGGCACAGCTACCCTGCAGTGCCCCCCTGTCCCGGCACAGCTACCCCGCAACTCCGCGCTGCAGCCCTATATCCCAGCCACAGCTGCCCCGCAACTCCGCGCTGCAGCCCTATTTCCCAGCACACAGCCCTCACGGTGCACTTGCCCTCCCACTCTGCACCAGCTCCACACCAGCACGCTTCACACAGGCTGCCGCACAGCACTTTCCTCTTGATACCCTTCCACAGTTACACAATCCAACACAGCACTCAGAGCATCCTGCCCTGCAGAGCAATCCTGATCCTGCCAGGCACTGCTCACCTTCACATAGCTCACTGTGCCTCACCACCTCTACGTTTACAGGATTTCAGCCACACACCCTCAAACTGCTCTGTAAACTCACCTCTCAATCACACCAGTGTGCAGGCATGCACACTCCTCTCTGCCCACAACTTACATGTGTACTACACCGACTCAGCACACTACCACTATCTACCTCCCCCCACAAGTACACTGCATATACCCCATTCTCTTTATTGTCTCCAGTTACTCACTCTATACTCACCATTCTGCACTCCTATTGTATACACCAAATCTGCAAATCCACATACAACTCACACTTTTCTCAGGTCTAGACCTCCATATGCACTATTGCTGGCACACTTTATTCCCTGCACTCCTCTAAGCTTCGCAAACACCCTGTTGTCTTTGCACAACCATGTGTAACACTGTCAGTGTATCTACACGTCAGAGCTGTACAGACACAACCAACCCCACATTTCCATAAAGCACTAAAAATCCCACAATTTCATAGTCCCCACCCTAAGTATACCAAGCACCAAACACACGCTATCATTAAGATGCTATCGTTAAGACAACAGAAGAGCTGGCTGTGCTGCTTCCACAGTCTGACCTACCCCACAGAAAATAACCACAGAGCAGTGACACTGCACACTTGGCACTTAGACACCAAGACTACTAACGCTATTCTGCATTTTCATCAGGCAACCAAATATCATAGGCTGTCACCCCTGTCACCTCACTGATGATCTTCCTTCATGCTGCTGCCAGCAGCATCTGCACGATACTGTGCTGAAAGGAGCCAGGCTGGGGCTTTTGCAGACCTGTGTCCTTCCACCGTTGTTCTGGAATCAGACCAAGCTCTTCATTTCCTCGCTGTCAGGCAGTTCGACTAGACTCTGTGCTCTTGTGAATTTTCAGTGACAGGTACACTGAGCCAGCTAAATTAAAATAATCTCAGAAGTGCTTTACTCATGGTACACTTGCACCTCAGGTGCTGTGCTGGATTAGTTAATTAGTGTTTGACACTAATTTATCTAATCATACTCTGGTAGCACTTTCAGTCTGAGGCACTCTGCCCACAGGTGAGGCTGGGTGGGCATTACCAACCACCAAACTTGAAATACAGAGGAAGAGAGCAATTAAAGTCAACAGTTGGAAGTTATTGCTGGCTCTGCCTGCTTCTGTTCTGGCAAGCCCAGCTGCAAAGTGCCTCATGCCTCACTCCAGCACGGCTGCTGCATCTTGGACTGCTGGGCAATGCTGCAATATACACTTACGGCATCTCTGCTTCAGTGTCAAAAATTGCAGCAACGCAAGATATGTTGTGGCCTGTCTTTATTGTGCACTGTGACCAGTGGTGGCCACACTGCAATGGGGACATCCTGTGATGCTCTGCAAAGGATCCTGTTCTTCTTTCACAGAAGCATGATGATACTGGGCTACACTCACTCAGACAAGTCAGGGAAGGTCTCCTGTATCTCTTCTGTACAAGTAGAAACTCAACCATTTGCTACATTATGACTTAGATTTCAAGGCTCTCACACATTCAGAGTATGTATTTACATATAGACATATAAAAAATTCACTGTGCCTGCCTTGGCTCTATTGAATTGCTCAGCATGAATTTCTAGTCTGCTGCTACTTTTTAAATAACATCCAGAAGTGCAAGATTGCCAACTGTCGCATGGCATACCAGAGGTAGCTGCAGAATCCCAGCCCAGAAATCTGATCTCTGCTCCTGAGATTTAACCAGCAAGGGATCCTTCCTGCTGCACTGTGATCCCTTCCATCGATGATGTTACCCCATGAAAGTGCACCATAAACTCATACGTTCTTCCTTGCTTTTATCTTTTGTTTACATAAGGTTTCAAAAAAAATCATACATCAGTTTCATTTTTGCATGAGTGCTATATCAGCCCTAAAGTTTCTAAATTTAGGTTCACAGCCCTCATTGGAAGATATATCTGAAACTTTTTTAACACCTCAAGTGCTTCAGAACCAGCTTGTCTCAGACACAAGGCCACTTTCTGGGCACATTCGTTTTTGCTGTAAATATGGAGCAAAGTAGTATTCAGACCTTGATCAGTGGGTTTCCATGTTTCTTTGTGTTTCAGCTCTGATGCAGCGTTTGAACCGTGTCCCGTTCCCCTGGGTCATCAGTTCTGTTTTCAGACTGTTTGGGTCTCTTCTGTACAGAGGTGTGACTGGGGAGTCTCCCCAGTGTTACAATTCCTCTTATCAACTCATTAAAAAAACTACTAGATAAGCTCAGTTCTGTACATGGAATTTCTCAGAATGCTTTTGTTACCTCTCAGCAGCCCCTTCACAGCTATGTCTCTTTTTAGTCTGTTCCTCTAGTACCTCTCACTTTTATCACCTTCAAAGGTTGATATTTATTGTTGATAGAATTTCAAATGCTTCATCAAAATTCTGTCAAACAAAATTGCATGATATGCAAAAGCAAACCCAACCATTTTATCAAGAGACTACATTATTTCACCCTGGAGGAGACCCACAGTGTATGACACTCCAGCACAATTCTCTTCTGTGTTGTATCTGATGGCTGCTCAATGTCAAACAAGGAAAGCACTCTTGGAAATAGCAGCTGGATCCCATAGCTGGATCCAAGGTGTGTGTCCTAAAGATTAGGCTATGGGAACGGACACAGACTTGCATTGCAGGGTTTCCCCTGCTCCCCCAACACCACCCTGAATTATTCTTGGCGTGGTGGCTAGGCTGCAAGGGGAAGATGGAAGATTGCGCTGTGGCCTGCATATGGCATATCTCCCAGGGATGGAGAGGGAGGCTTGAACCATCCAGGCCAAGGAAGACCCCGATCCCGGGCCTCTGGCTTCCCTGCTGAAACCACCAACCCATTTAAGGCACATGGCTTTCCTCACCACTTCCACCCGCTCTTCCAGCTGCTGCATTTTAAGGTAGACTATCAAGTCCTTTGGTAAGGTGGTGGAGGGCATGGGGACCAATGATGATGCAGCCTGTAAGACACACCCTAGGACCAGGGGCTCCCTGGCCAAGGTGCCAGCCTGCACCCCTGCTCCGGGCACCCAGGACCCGCAGCCTGCGCAGGGGCCAGGCGCTCCCCCACCACTGCCGTGCCTCATCCCCAGGGTTTCCGGCCAGCGAGGCACTAAGCCGAGAACCCCCAGTTCCCGCTGGACCTCGGATAGACCAGACCCCCAGCGACGCCCAAGCCTGGGAGCGAGCAGGGTTTGTAATCCCCGTGAGAACGAGAGTGCCCCGAAATCCCCTTCCCGCAGCTCCGGCTCCCGGCCTGGCGGAAAACACCCGGAAACGGGAAACGCGAGGAGCGCGGGCGCCGCCCGCCGCCGCGCGGGGCAGCAGCGCCCCCTGCCGGCCCGGCCCGCGGGGCCCTTCCCCGCCCGCAGCCCGGCGCGGAGGGGCCCGCGGGGGCGCGGCCGGGGCTGCGCAGGGGCGGGCGTGGGGGGGATGTTGGGCGTAGGGTGCAACCTCTGTTTGCTAGTGTGAAAAATAGGAAAAAAAATATTTTTTTTTTTTCTTTTGCGCTCTATTTTAAGGTGAGGCTACTGTTAGGTGGAGTGTAATGCTATGTCCTCTGACAGCCTGAAAAAATGCAAAAGGTGTTAGAGTAATCAACCTCTAATCGCTATTAATAACTGCCTTCACACCAGACCATGCTTGTGTGTGCAGCTGCTGAGACCCAGTGCTGGTTCCTGGCACCTGCTTGCAGGATCAGGCAGTCCCGTCCAGTCACTGACCCGACGCAGGCAGCAAACCCGGGGGTGGGGGGCAGTAACTGCTCCCTGCATGACTTCAGCACTTGAGCCCCTGTGCATCTCAGACACCTCACTCCTCTCTTGGAGATGCTTTCATAAGGCAGCGGTGGGATCTGTGCACTCACAAGCAGGGAGCTGGGAAACGGACCTTCAAACATGAGCAGCTGCTTTTCCTGAGCTGGCTGTGTATTAGCGGGGTGCAAGGACAGACCCCTGCAAGGGACACATCTACTCTGCCATGGATTTTGCTGCTTGTTATTCACAGCGTCCATTTGCTGAAGCATCACTCAGTTTTACTACATGGAAATTCACAGCAGAAGGCAGCTGCTGTCCCTCTCTTTATGTCCCTGCAATGCCGGTGAAAAACAAGGTTGTTCTGTGATGATGTCACATATCTTATAGACCTCCTGAGGCTACAGGCAATTTGGGTGGGCAGATGGCTCTCCTGAAATATGCTAATAAGTGTTGGGATGGGGGAGGAATGATACAACATGGTAATTAACCACTGATGGAGGGCATCAGTAGGGCCTACAGAAATTTCCAAGCTACATAAATAATCTAAGGGGCATGGGTTTAACAGCTGAGAACATATGGGTGCTAATTGTGTACTGCTCCACCAGAATAGGAAAAAAAAAGCTCCTTGTTCACAGACCTGCCTCTGTCCCAGCTCAGAGTGTCCAGAAATTAACTCTAGGATTGCAAAGCTCAGCACAGTGTCCTTGCTCTGACATCCAGGTGGTGGCAATTCTGACACCAGCTGAATCTTCCACAACCCCTCAACAGGGTTGCTATATCAACACTTACTACAGTATCTTTATACCTGTTGTGCAAGGGATCATCCAGATCGCAAGGGAATGTGAGTCTTGCTCTTCCCATGAACTTCCTACATCCTTTTTGAGGTTGTGTTCCTTGGATATTCCATTCCATTTAGCATGATGTTAGGGACACCTTCCTCAGCCCTTAGGACCATGGGATCTGGGAC